ACCCCGTGGCATCACTCCCCGTCCGTCTGTCTGTCCGTCTGTCTGACTGCTTTTGTGGCAAGGTTTTTATTGTTTGTTTAATTGCGAACAAATGGGGTTGGGGTAGGCGTGCGGCAGGGCAGGGCAGGGACTGTAGGGTGCACTTGAAAATTGTAACAGCAAAAGATGATAAATGATTTGCAGCATTTAACCCTGCACTTGCACAGCTGTTGGCTTTCTGGCGGGTTCTGTGCGTAACATTTGCCGCAAAATCAAAAGAGGAAACCGCTGATGGTCGCTGATGGGCTTGGGTGGGTTGCCAGGAACGCTGTGGGGAGGGTGGCTGGGCTGGCTGCCTTTCGGTGCACTTACAGCCACGAAAATGTAATAAAAACGTGCGTCTCCACTTCATGTAAATCATGTCAGGCGAGTAGCGAAAAATATCTCCTTGCTGCAGAAGCCGCAGTTTTGCAGGCAGCACAAATGAGTAGTTGTAGTCGTCTGTGGCAAGTTCATCCTGACCGCAGTCGAGCTGGCACTCTGATGCTGATGCTGTTGCTGATGCTGTGCGATCACAATCACCAAATGCTGCACAAAAAGGTAAGGTGTCCCAGTCGGAGTTGGGAGTTTGCTGCTGCTGCTGCTGCAGTCCAGGGCGTCCACTGGCGGTGGTGGCGTGAACGTGCAAACATGTTGCACATGAGAGAGGCTGCCGCTAAAGTACTTGTACTTGTCATATTGTTATGGATTTATGGCAAACACGTATAGCGCTATAAAAATGACATATGCACGTGTATGGGTTAAAGTATGGGTTCGATATGCAGCCCCCATGCCGCTGCCATCTTTGGTTTCTCGCTTACTGTGTTGCACATGCGGCAGCGTCTCGAGGCGAGACATGAGCACGCGCAGCCATCTACCGCTCCCTCCCCCTCCATGGCATTGCCTTGCCACTAATTAATCGCCTTTGTTCGTGTCATAATTCGATGCGTATGAAACATGTTTGCCTTACTGATTTCACAATTGCATTTCGCTCGCTGTCTAGGGGTGGATTTCGGGTTAAATGAGGCATGCCACGAGTGTGTGTTCAACCCCTCTGTGTCTCTGTGTCTCTGTGTCTCTGCTGTCGATGAACATGTGTGCGGTTCACAGCGGCACAAGTGCTTTGGCTGCTCGCCCGCGAGGTGGTTGCATGTTTCTGGGTCAGATCAGGTGGCAACATTGATGGATGGATGGATGAACGGATGGGCGGTTCATTGTACCCCACATACCCCAGAGGGTTGCATTTTTTAAAGATTTTATTGCGGTTAGTAGAGCGAAACAATGGGCGGATAACACAGATAACATTTATCACTGGAAACTGTAAGCGGAAATCTCTCAGCTGAACTTTATCTTGGTAATTCTTGTTAATTTTTCAATTTATTATTTAACTTAGGGTAGTTTTAGGGATCAGCTGCTGGGTAATGGAATGATCTGATAGCAGGGAATTTATCTGCATTTTAGTCAGGATATTGATATATTAGCAGTTCTCAAGTGCAGAACTTGACGCTTAAACTAGGTCAAAGTCGCATAGAAGAGTAGCCTGGATTCCAGCAGAAATTTCTCAGCCAAAATGGGTTTAAAAGTGTACCAGAAATGTCTCTTCAGCAATGACTACAGCTGAAGGAGAAACAAGGCATTGATTTCCAGCGATTATATCTCAAAGTCATCAGCTTTCTGTAGCTTATCGGTTAGGTTTCAATTTGAAGTATATTTTTATGCAAGATTTCAGTTTGATACAGTTTGAAGGAGAGCTCTAGCTACTCCTTTGTACTTCCCCAAAAGGAAGTACCCAGTGCTATGCTCATTTGAGTAAAGACTCCACCTTTAAACTGAACTTAGACCCAATTCCCAGTGTTTTGCCCTTAGGGCTTGTTGTTTTTTGTGTGCTTCAAGTACCCGTAACTTCTCGCTGAAAATATGGCCCATAAATCTCTGTGGCCGGCACAAAACCAATAAAAGCCAACATAAACCACTAACCTAAGGCAATGTTTCATGCACCTCCGGCTAAGGGCAGTGCCGCAACCGCGAACCGCGAACCGCGAACCACAAAAACCGCCACCACAGCAGCAGCAGCGGCAGGAGTCAGTGGCAGCAGCCAGGGGCACATCCAGCAGCAGTCGTCAGGAGGAGGCGGAAAAAAAAGACACTTGAAAAATCTGTCATAAAATGTTGAGTGGTGTAAAAGCAACTGCTTGAAATTGCCAACATATTTGCCTGTTTGTTTAATGAACTCAACCAACTGGTTGTCCAACGGGGGTGGTGGTGGTTGCGGTGGTTGCGGTGGTTGGAGGTGGTGTGTGTCTGTCTCCGTGTGTTCCTGCTGGGAGGGTTGCTCATTGTTCGCTGTACAGATTTTGATTACTCAATATGTTTGATTTTATGGATCACTTTTGCATCTGTCTGCTGGCAAAAAACCAAAGTCTGCCTGCTCCATGTGGCAGCAAAAAAAAACAACAACAACAAAGCAAAAATCGTCTCAAAACGAAAGCTAATTTCAACAAAGAAATGCCATTAAAGCCGAACAAGTGTCCAACACCAACTCGAATTATGAGAGACGCACACAAAAGACACCTGTAAGATGTTCAAGATGTCCGTCTGTCTGTCCGTCTGTCTGTCCGTCCAGCTGGGAGTTCGCAGTACGCCTCCGCGTCTGCCGCTGTCTCTGTTTGTGTCTCCGACTGTCTGTGGCAGTGGCTCTGGCTATTAGCTGAAATCAAAACGAAAACAATGTAAACCACAGTCGGCTACAAGCCAGCAAAAATAATATCTCTGGAGACTTCGGTTTCTCTGGAGTCCCCGAGTGTCGCTGCTGGCCACCAACGCAAAAGTTGTTGTTTCTGGTGTTGCGGCTCTGGTGTTTCCCTGGTGTTGCTGCTGTGTTGTCATGCTCGTTGCAGCGGGGTATTATGACTATGCTGTGAAGTTTGCAGTGCAGAGATTTCTAGATTTGATTTAACAGCAAAATGAACCTTTCGTTTTTTACATTGCAACTTTTTGGACATTCTCCTTGTTGCCTTTTGGTAGAGTGTCACTTTGTCGCAAAACAAGTACAAGTTTTGATGGTGCTAACCCGTGCAAAAATGAATGCAAATCTCACCCACAGCTCATATTTTTCCCTTCCATTTCCATCTTAAAGAGTGTCTCAGCCGCCGCTACTAGAAGCTGGCAGTTCTTTTTGCCATCTTTTGTGGTTGCCCGTTGCTGGTCGTCGCCTTTTAGCCAATTTTGATATAACTGAAAGCGTCAATTATACGTGAAATTTATGATGCCGTGTGAAGAATAACACCAACTTGCAACATATTTGGACATTGCTGTGCTTACTGTTGTTGTTGCTGTGGTGCCGTTGTGGGATGTTGCTCTTGTCGCCGCACAATTGCCGCTCTGGGCTCTCTATGCAGGCAGATATGTACCTTGATAATGGGCATTGTGGTGCAGTTTTGTGCTTCTTACTGGAACTGGGGAAAAAGATGACAAAGGAGCAACAGGCCGCAATGCGACGGCTGCCCTCCCCTTCCCACAAAGCCAAGTAAGTACGCGGAGGTACGCCCACCAAAACGGGATGGAGGGATGGAGGGACGGAGGGACGGAGGGACGGAGGGACGGCAGGCCAATGGCACAAATAGCAAACATAGTCACATAGCAAATGGCCAAGAGAAGACATTTTGGGCACACACCAAGTCAATTTGTTTTATCTATTGTCGAACAAGAGTCTTGTCACAATGGCCACAATGAGATTTAGTACACTGCACGAAAACTAAGAGGTAAAATGGATTTATTGGCCATAAATGTGTTAGCATTGCGAATGATTCCATAAAGCTTGGACTCATCAGTGGAAAATGATGTAGAAATTATGTAAAAATAGTTCTAAGCTTCATTTTCTTGCTGTGTAACAATTGTTGCTGCTGTTGCTGTTGCTGCTGCTGTTGTGGGCAGACAACTGTTGTTGCATTGGTAGCTGTTTGCTGTTGCTGTTGCTGTTGCTGCTGCCACAACAATGGAGCGGCAGCGGCAGCGGCAGCGCAAATCAGCAACATGATTCGATATTTAGATATGCGCCTCAAGAAATATGAGCCGCTAACAACAACAGCAGCAAGCAGCAGCAGCAACAACAACAAAGATGCTGCCGCTTTTAGCCTGTCTTTGAGCTGGTTGGCCGCAGTGTAATTGCCAAGTTTGTGGCTTAAGTCTTTTGTTTGGGTTGCCCCTCGATTGGCCGGTTGCATTTAAATTTGATTTATACACACTCGCAATGCATATAATTGGATGGAAGTCGCCGCACCACAATAATTGGCTAAAATCCGCTACGGGCCATGCCATGTCATGTCCACCCCCCGTCTAAGTATTAGCCCAAATACCATTAGGGGGCTGAGAGAGCCATTGACCAGGTGTTAATTGGGAACCCATAAAACGGTGAACCCTGAGGCATGGGACTAGGTTCTACACTAAGTAGAGCAGAATGCCAGCGCAGGGCGAACTTCCTTCCGTGCTGCCATGCTGCCCGTGCCAACGGTGGCCACCGTCCGCATTTATAAACATAATTAAGTTGGAATCGTAAAAACCACAAGGGAATAAAGATCGCCTCGGGCTTCTACGGCCACGCATGCGTGCAGCCGAAGACGAAGACGAAGACGAGACGATGCTTCGTCGCTTGCGAGAGTAGCCGCTGAAGCAGACGCAGGCGCAGGCGCAACAGCAGCAGCAGCAGCAGCCACGACGGTGGCTCTGGCTCGTACTCGTAACTCCATTAACAAGTCAGGAGCCCGGGGCTCTATGGCTGGACAACCAATCAGCGCCTGCCTAAAGAGCACACATTAAAGAGTAAACCGGTTCACCCAGAAGAGAACGTGTGAGAGAGAGAGAGAGAGAGTGTGTGTCCCCGAAGAGGGAGACTCCGCAGAGAGCGCTGACAAAGCCCACAGAGCCCGAGCGAGCGGATGATCGGAGCACGATTGTGCCCCTGCGGCAATCAGTCGCGACTCGAACCCTGAAGCATACGCAAGCAGCGAAAAGCCAGCAGCCAGCAGCGGAAGCTAGAGACACTTTACCCATACGATTCCGTCTGTGATTTTGGCTGGTACGAGTGCCTCCACCGCACCACCACCACCACCATCACCACCACCCAGCATCAGTAGCCAGAGCAACGCTCTCTTAAGCCACTGCTCTCGCGTGATTTGCTCCGCCCCCGTGGCTGCTGCTCGAGGGCTGAAAATGCCGCAGGATTCGGTTAACGATTCGCGGCGACGCGTTTAGTCGAGTGCCGTGCTTCGAGCGGTGATGAGCCCCACACTTTCTGCAACGGTAAATCCCAACGAGAAATATTGGATTATTGTGATCTGTGATCTGTGATCCCACCCCACCCCTTTTGCCCGACAATTGTGAAAGTGTTAAATGTGCTACAGTCCCCCAACCGCAGCATTCAATTGCTGGCTGATTGCAACAAATGACGGCAAAAGCAGCAACACAACAAAAAGCCAAAGCATCGTAATCGAAGAGAGTAAATGGAAAGATCATAATTAACAACAACAATCAATCGACGTCTTTCACATTTCTCCACGTGTGTGTGTGTGTGTGTGTGTGTGTGATTAATTTTTTCAAGATTGAGTAGAGCTGGTGGGAAAAGCAAACGGAAATAATTCTCAATTAAATACAACATTAAATACAATATATATATTAAAATACAATGCCATCGCATAATTGTGAGGAATCACAGAGTGAGAGAGAGCGAGAGAGTGCGAGATATAAAAGTAAAAGTGCAAACAATGTGCGGCAGCCCCCACTGTCGTCCGCCTAGTGTGTCCCAGTGTCCCCACTGTGCGTTCCATTGATAAGGCACAAACAGACGCAGGCGCACACACAGCGACACACAAACACACAGAGTCGTTGGCATAGGAACGAACACACACGCTACGAAATGGAATTGAAACGTGCCAAGTGAAAGAAAGAAATGAAAAAAAAGAGAACACCCGAACAGCAGATAATACAAATAATAATAATGCAAAGCCAGTGATAGAGAGGGGAGACTCAGTGTGGGGGTGGCTATGTGGGGCGGTGGGAAAAGCCAGAGATCGAGAGCGAGAGCGAGAGCGAGCATTTACCATATGGCATGATTAAGTCGTCTGTTCTACAAGTTGTGTGGATCGTTTCATTCAAGAGGCCGCTCGGCTCTGCCTTTACAATTCTTTGATAAACTAAGAGTATTTATCGAGAACTGCTCACTGGAATATGCCAGAAAATCTCAGAAAAGAAGGAAATATGAATAATATTTGCTACAAAAACGTTCAATATTATTCATGGAGCATCTGAGCTTCCATTATCAATTCAGTTTTGACATGCGAGTCAGTAAGCAGAGCTTTTAGGCCATTTCCCATTATCTCAGGCCAGATCATTCCCTAGAGCTAGAGATAGAGCATTTACCAGTTACCCATAAATATGCCCACTTCGTTGCACTCATTCATCATTCCGCAAATTGCTAAAACAGTGTGCACCCTTTCGGTGAAAGTTCAGGTTGCGGGGGGCTGAAAAGAGAGTAGAGTGGAGAGCCATCCACTTGCAAAAGCCACTTCCGGTCATGCCTTACAGCAGCCACAGGCACAGGCACAGCCGCAGCAGCAACAACCGCAGTGGCAGTGGCAGCAGCAGCAGCATCTGAGTTTCGCTTCAAAGTCAACGACTTCCGCTACGTGGCGGGGATGAGGCTGCAAGAGGAGGTCGCCTCAAGCAAATTACTTAATTAAATGGGCAATTAACACCCGGGCATCATCCGCCCGAGGATCCAGAGGATTGAGAGGGCGCCTCAGTGGCAGGGGGGGGGACAGCCGAAAGGCTGCCCCAAGGAGAGCGAAGAATGAGTAATGTGAGCAAGAGTGAAAATATCTGTAAATTAATATGCGCACAAGATGCAAATTGTTTTGTGGCCAAAGACACGGCTCCAAGCCAGCAGTAAAGGAAGAGGCAGCAACAGCAACAGCAACAGCAAGGAGCCACTGCCAGAGGCAGGCAGCAACAGCAGCAACAACAGCGTTAAATTAACATAAATTGAATTGCATTTGCATTTGCTGCACGTTGCTGCCGCTTTTTTTTTTGCGGCTTGCCCTGGCAAAAGTAAATGTTTGCTGCGGTTTGCAGCCGGCTTCAGATGGTCGTGGCACTTGTTGCTGCCGATTTGCGGTTGCAGCAACAGCAGCAGCAACTGCGTGTCAATTAGCTTTGATGATGCATGCGTCAAATGCATTGAAATAGATTTGCAACAGCACTTTGGCAGCCCGTTTCAATTCCATTTTGTTCAACAATTATTTTGTTACAGCAGCAACAACAGCCACAATAAAACATCGCTGGCTATCAAGTGGAAGTTTATGCAAAACAAATGAAAATATAGTACACAAGCGAACGCGTACAAGTGCGAGTACATATAAATAATAATAGTTTGTGATAACAACAACATTAACACACCCAACGGCGGGCAGAAAAGTGAACAAAAATGATACAAAATACTCGGAGCCCAAAGCCCACACAAACTGCGGCGAAAACAAATTGAAATTTTGTGCAAAAACGAAAATTAGACAAGCTAAACTACAAAAGCAAGTACACAAAACAAATCTCCATATATGGGCTAATTAAAGAACCAAACTTCGATTTACATTCGTTGTGCAAACACAATCCGACCATTCCCCCCCATCGAGATTGTCGAGAAATCCTCTAAACCAGCATCAGCTCGCGAACGCCCACAGAATGTACACAATGTTTAGGAAACATTTTCGGCGAAAATCAACAGCATCGCAACCATCAGCATCAGCATCAGCATCAGCCCCATCAGAACACTCTGCCACAACATTGGCAGAGGAATCCGCAGAACCAGCAGCAGCATCCACAGACAGCCTGAGAATGTCGGCGACAGCAACGAGGCAACGACAGAGGCCCAGGCAAAGGGAATTCTCGTCTCTGCCATCGCCCATCAGCGATTGTCGATCATTAAAGTCTGCCTGCAACTTAACTGCTTTAATTTTAATATTGTTAGTCCATAAGGTAAGCCAAAACAAATCCACAAACATGCAAAAAGCAGAGCAAAAAATAACCAAAAAACTTTAAGCCTTTAAAGCGAAATTTATGCGGGTGTTTGAAGGCAAAGTTGATTCAACTTTGGGCCAAAGGCTAGGGCCCACAGCTCCGGAATTATGATGGGGGACGTAAATAATGATGATTTGCCTTAATACCAACTCAGTGATTTATCAATTTTGAATGCAGCAGCTTGGGTGCTTAATAGGGTTCGTTTTTATGGGGGTAAATACTTTGCGGATTGCCAAGCGAAATATTGAGGGTTTTGGCAGTGAAAAAAAAAGGAAAGAAAATGAATTTAAAGTCAAATATAATGCGGAATGAATGAGAGATAAAATATATGGCAATGATTCAAGTAAATATTTTCAGTAATTAAAAGAAGTTCATTCTATTGCACAGCTAAAAATAATTGTTTATAGTTGTGTTCTGATTTTAATCAAATTTATTCAACCTAAAGAAGTTTCACATTCCGATAGACTCCATCACAAAATTAGACTTAAAATAAAGACATTTCCAAGACTAAGAATTTCAGATAAACTTAAGGTACGCGAGGACCCTTTTTTGAGTAAACGATCCGAGCTACAAATCTTTCAAAACCATCTTTCCGAGATGGTTCCCACACCCGGCTGACCGTCCGGGGGCATAGCTTGAAGTTTTTTTGGGGTGTAGCCGCCATAAAGTGTTACATAAAGTGCCTAAACATGTATTGAGATGCCAGCGGAGAGGCAGCCCAAGCCCAAGTCGAAGACGGCAATTAAACAGGCAAAGAGGCACACAGAGGCACACAGAGGCACAGAGATGGAGAGAGGGATATAGCAAAGAAATGGTACGGGGATAGAGAGGCCAGCAACGGCAGCCAACGAACGGTTCAAAAATACATAAAAATTAATCGCTGCAGCAACGGTGGGAGAACACACCATAAACACAAACAACAATTTGATTAATACGCAGGCGATCGCGAGAACCAGCTCCGGACTTGGACATTAGAATCCAAGAAGCGAGAGAGACAGGGGCAAATGGGTATGCATGGATGTGCATGGGTATCGGGGCATGCAAGACTTTGGGGCAATCAAATTGATTACACACATTTATCTGCCGCCAAGGCAGAGCAGAGCAGGAGCCAGAGCAGAGCCTGAATCTCGGGGCAGGGGATGGAGTGCATTGATTTAGGGTAAGCGAGGCGATAAAAGTCGCCGGCAGCGCCGTCCGTTCGTCCGTCCGTTCGTTTGTCCGGCAAATGAGAAATGGATGCCTAAATGGTCAGCGGACAGAGGCAAATAGCCGCACTGCCGACTGCAACTATTTAGTTGTTAATGAAGTAAATAAAAGTTAAATATTTGTAGCGGCGATTAATGGTTTAGTTCCATGGAAATGCGCTGCCTTAAGCCAGTCGTAAAGATTCGCTCCGATCAGCCCACGTCAAGTCGAATTAGCCCAGTTTTATTTTTCGTGGCATCTCAGGGAGGATCTCTCTCTCTCTCCCTCTGGCTCTCATTTGAGCTGACATTTATTGATCATAAGCTGCGTATTAAACGAACTGAGCGGCAGATTCGTAATGCCAAAAGATGCGAAATTCAGAAATGTAAAAATTCAACAAAAAGCCCCCCGCACATTCGAAAGGCAGTCAGCCGTCTGAGTCTGAGGCAAATGAGTTGGCAAAATGAGCTCCCACGATGCTGAGCTGCTGTGAATCCGTGAATCCACCAACTCGAACGCATTTATGGCCAACAAAACGTTCCGTTTCGTGGCCAACTGCAGCTTTAATTAAAATTTCATTTAATTTCACATCAATTTTGTCTGGCGGCTTCATTAAGCGACCTGTTTACATGTGGCGCCGCAGCACTAATTCCTTAATCATTTTCGGTAGTGCCAAGACAAGGGGGGGGTCGCTTTATCTAATCGAATTGATTACGTCAAAAGTTTGTCTCGAATATTAGCGGATGCGGCCAGGGGCAGAAGGGGCCGAGAGCCCCTAGCCAGAAGCAGCTGCACTTGCCTCATGAATGAAGAGTGCCCAAAAGAAATGTGATAAATAAATAGTAAGCAGGCCTGGGAAACCGGTTCACAGCTCTCGATCAAGAATCCAATCAGCCTCAAAGTCGTAGCCGGTCTTGGCCAAACAAAAGGAAATCTCACATGAAAACGCTAAGAGAAAAAGCCAAAGAACTGGCAGAGTCGAAGAGTGGTGGAGATGGAGAGTCAGAGGGTTTGGAGGAGCAACCAGTTGCATTTGATTGATCTATGGCATGATCAACAATGCATGCGGCTGGCCGGCCACATCGACTTCGAGATGAAGCCGCAAGATCGAAGCTGGAAGCTGGGAGCTGCCAGCCGGAGTTGAAGTAGAAGTTTTGGTTCTTTTTTTTTTGTTGTGCTCTTGCGGCACAAGGTGCACAGGTGCAGGTGCAGGCAACGGCTATGGCTGCGACTTTGGCGACGTCTTTGGCTCGAACTAAACTGGCTAATGCCGTTAGCCCAAGCCTCACCGCCTGCCTAAAGGCTAAATTGCAATTTATTTCTAATAAACTTATCAACACTGCCAGCTAGCAAAGCCAATGACAATAAATTTACTGAAATATGAAACCATAAAAGCCAGAAGTCCAGGCCTAAGAGTTTTCATTAGCATATTTTCCACGAACCAACAGCAGCAGGAAAAAAGTCTCCAAAGAGGCCTTGAAACTACAAAGTGGAGGATGTTCGCTTCCAGATTCGTTTCGAGGATGCAAGAGCAGCAGCAGCAGCAGCCAGTTCTCTGCAGTTCTTGCAGCTAAATTATGATAAGCGATTTGCCTGAGAATAGTTAAACTTTATGCACCATTTGTCAGGCCGCAGCGAGTCTAGGCGAGCTGGCGATCTAATGTGTTATTAATTGTATGGCAAATGCTCCCATCGATAGGCTTTTGATTTGTGGCCAGAGCACCGCCACCATTTCCACTATGCAATAGTCAGGTCCGGTTCGGTTCCCTCTCTCTCTCCTGCCGCTGATGGCAGACAAAAGCATTCTAAATTATACAAACTGTTGGATATCTCGTTTGATTAAGTGACCCGAAATGCTGGACTCCAATCTGCAGTACAGTTAGGCATTGCTTTGTATTGGGAAAATATTTCTCATTATTTCTCGTGTATCAAACAAACGCTCCTTTCATTTGCCTAACCAACAGCAAGTCTTGTACGTGTAGTATTCCCCCTCACACCGTTCCATCTCTCATTTTTTGTGTTTTTAATTAAAACCTCTACCGTGGAGCCCAATCAGAGCGCCCTAGGTGGCTTATTAGCTTTTAGAGATCCAGCAGCAGCAGCAGATCCGATCAGATCCATAAAGTGTTGAGCATATTATTCGATTTACAGCGTCGGAGTTGGGGTTGGTTGTTGCTGGGAAATCCAGCTGGGAATGCCTTTGGGATTCACCTATTTTGGGCCATGATTGATTTGAACGATTTGGGGGCTTGAATTTGTTCGCTTGTTTCCCAAACCATTCAATAATCATGTTCCTGCTCTCTCTCTCTCTCTCTTACAGATATCCGCAGCTGGTAACTTTGAGCTGGAAATATTAGAAATCTCAAATACCAACAGCCATCTGCTGAGCGGCTACTGCTGCGGCATGCCACCAGAACTGAGAGCCACCAAGACGACGGGTAAGTCTTTAAATTCTTTCAACGAAAGTAGAGTTCATCTTGAGATAGAGATTAAGGTAGATGTTGCTTTTACTATGTTTTGTTTAGAGATTTCTGAGGCATTTTGTATGCATTTATGGATAAAAACTGTGAAACATTTTGCTTTTATTTCCGCTAAAACCTAAGACAACATTTATCAGAATTGTTTCTGTTCTTTCTTCTCTGAACTCTGTGGACTCTTTTATTAAGCATTTCCAACTGCAGATTCAAACATGAATAATATTTCCTTTACTCTTAACCCAAAGCACGTCTACCAGTTCAACATTCTGTGCGATTATTACATCATTTCTTGACTGCTATCTAATAAATAATATATATATATAAACAAAAAGCATAATGCTTACTTGTTCCAAAAGAAGAACAGAGAGGCGGTCAAGGTCTTTGCCTCGCTCCTATCACAATTTGCATTCTTTTGTTTTATATTTTGTTTCTTAAATTACTCGCATTATGCAATCGCCGACAACGAACTTTGTACAGACTTATACACGACTCTCTGTGGTATTTACGACCATGATAAAGCATATGGTTAACGAATGTTCTTTCTTTTAATGTTCTTGCAGGCTGCTCACCATGCACAACGGCATTCCGGCTGTGCCTGAAGGAGTACCAGACCACGGAGCAGGGTGCCAGCATATCGACGGGCTGCTCGTTTGGCAACTCCACCACCAAGATACTGGGCAGCTCCAGCTTTGTGCTCAGCGATCCGGGTGTGGGTGCCATTGTGTTACCCTTTACATTTCGCTGGACGGTAAGTTTTCGTCTAGTCTTAAGTACTTATCCAACTTATCCAACGTTTCGGTTCGCTTAGCGGCGCTTCCCACCCCCAAAGGCAGGCGGCGCTCTCTCTCTCTCTCGTTCTCTCTCTCTCGTTCTCTCTCTCTAAGCACGCTTTTGGCACGAGCTGTTCCAGCTCTCATTTTTCGCTGCGGGTCTAGACTTTAGATAGCGGGAGCTCGGGGCTCTCGTCTCGGCTCTCGGTTCCGCATGGAGAGCAGCAGAGCTGAACGAAGCGCAGCGATAAGCAGCGAGTCGGCAGCATAAATGTGAATGAGCCGCTGCTGCCCAGCCCGTGCCGCGGCGACGTGCAGTGATAAGAAAACATCTATGGGGAGTACCGGAGGGAGCACAGAATTTCTCTCTCTTTCTTGGCAGTACTTCCTGTAGCCCCAAAAAACATTCCAACGTTCCATAAGCTGGCGTAACAAGCGGCTTAATTCGAGAGCATCTTTATGCCATACATTCCGCTCTTCAGCTTCCATTGAACCCTTCTTCGGTAGAGTTGCTCCCGCCGGTAGCCGAAAAAAAGCAATTAAAAATTGTGTTTCATATTTTTTAGCCACACTGCCTGGCTACTCCTCTGCTAAGCGGCTTTCGGTTAATTAAGTGAGCATAATGCGGGCTTATGACTGCCAGCCAACATGGTAAGAAATAAAACGAAACAAGAACTGTGAAAAATACCAACAGAATAAACGTGGCCCCAGCGAGAGCTGTGTGTGGGACATTAACTCGGTAAAGGTACAAAAATGTAACCTGGTCCGGTGGCTGTTGAATTCAAAGTTTTGTACAACTTCCAGCATATATGCAATGGTTGTTCGGTTTTGTGTTCTTTCGTTTGCTAACTTGGCTAACAATTACACGCCTTGGCCCGGCCCAAAACTAATGCCAAAAGGCAGTAGAATGCGCAGTCGCAGTCGCAGTCGCTGTTGACGCTAACGTTGGCATGCGCGTCGTCGTTAGGCAGGTCTCCCTGTGCTGCAGAGGAGAAGGAGAAGGAGAAGGAGAATGAATAGAAGGAGTAGATGGAGGAGCTGTTGGTGTCGAGTCAGTCGCTGTGAAGCGAGCATGCGTCAGAGTCTTGGCTCTTGCTCTGGGTCTGGCTCTGAGTTTGAGTCTCAGTCTAAGTTTGGGTTTGGGTCTGTGCCTCGTTGCTGGTTCTGTGCCGCCTTCGACTGTGCCCCTGTGCCGGCGCACAAGTCGTGGCCTGAAGTGCGGACAACCTGTTTCGTGGGAACATTACCTTGTCGCGCTTGTCGCTCGGCCGATGGCGATGGCGATGGCGATACGTTACGCTTCGCTTTGGTTTCGCTTTAATCTTTTTTGCTTTTGCTTTTCCTTTTTGCACCAGCATCGAGCTGGAAAAAATGCTCCACACATGTGGTGGACCCATGGACTCCGTCTTCGACTGGGTGCCCAAAACGAACGAAACCTGGCAAAATGTTTGCCCTGCCAGTCGGCGGGGACTGAGGGTGCGAGCACCCTCAAGAAGCCTTTCACAAACTCATGAAAATCTTCAAAAAATCACCTGAGTTTGTCCCTCTCTCTCTCTCTCTCTCTCTCTTAGCTTTTATTTTGTTGTTGAAGCTGCCGATATGGGGACCAACAATTGTCCCACTTTTTATTGAATGACTTCTTTTTTTGTTGTTGTTGTATTTCTTCTTCTCCAACTACTGATGATTGAGTGAATGGCGTGTTAAAACTTATAAACATGACTTAGGAAATACTTCAAGCTGAAGTTGGTTCCCTCAAGCAGCGAAGCGACTACGGGGTATACACAATACTTGTATTGGTAGTAGTGCCGGAGGTACATACATCATAACATCATCAAGCCTTCAATGTAACTGTCAAACACCGTGTGGAGGAGATCTTGTGTTTGGTGGCTTCTCTGCCTCTCTGCCATGAGTTTCACTTGACAATATTTTCCAACTGCTTTTTTGAAGATTTTTTCGAGTGCGCGTGCGCAGCCATTGAGCATTCTCGAGTGGATTTTGTGTTGCCTGGAACTTGTTCCACTTTTTTTTTGTTTGGCCCTCTCAGCGATCAATCGATGAATGACTGAACACAATACAAATTGTATTTTGCTCTGTTTTGAGTTCCATTTTACCAGCCCCCCCACACATACACGTTGCTTTTGTGCTTTCGTTTTGAAACCGAAGACCAGGTTCTTGACATTGTGTTAAGATTTCAGTGGCCAGCCTGAGGGTTTGTCTCGATAATTGCTACTTGATTTTTGAGCAAAAGAAAAGGGCTTTCCATTAATCCTAATCATTCACCCCATTGGCGCGTGTTTGTCTCTCGCTTTTGCTGAAATTTAATACCAAAATTCAACGCCATTTTCAATTGAGAAACTTCCTGCTGGATTTTAGCTCGAGCCAACACCGGAACACAGCCACAAAATGACATCTGAAATTGAATTGAAACTTGATACGAAACCCCTCCCACTCACTGTATCATCAATTGCAAACGGATGGAATGGATGGATTTAGCAAAGTGTGTCAAGTTGTTCTTGCTGCTTTGCAATTAGCCAATGTCTGGCTGGGACTGATTTAGTGTCGCGTCGCCATGAGAACAGACCAGAACAGAACAGATCTCTGGCCTCGTCCAGTGCCACGATCCATGGCCTCCGCCTCCCACTGCTAAATGAGCATTTCCTGGCATCCAGCGGCGTCCAGCGGCATCCCCAGACAACGTCGTCGTTTAATTGCTTTTTGCCCAGCGAGAAATCTTCCTCAATGGCAAACGGCAAACGGCTCCAAGTCCAAGCAATTACAACAAACGGCGAATCTTCAATGTTTATAGGGCCCCAATGCAACAACCAGCTAGGAGTAAGGGGGCAACAAAAGTAAATCTGAACTGCAAAAGGTGATGGCAGCGAAGTTTCGATGCTCTGAAAGATCAAAGAATTAGTCTTTCAATTGATAGAAAAGTTCTTTGAGCTCGATTCATATTTTTCAACAGATTTTGGCTGTTAAAAAACCTTCAATAATATTTGCTTTTGCTGCTCAAAGTGCTGCCCCCCTGAGGAAGTGTATCCAAATAAAATGGAATTTTTTGTTGTATTTCGTTTTGGCCAATTGCTGCAATGCCATGGACATCGACATGGACACGGCCAGGCGATCTTGCTGTTTAGAAAGTCCAGCCTGGGTCTGGGTCTGGGTCTGTGAGTCTCGGACTGCCTCTCGCTCTTGTTGGGGGTCGTCGTAGTTGGCTTTGTCTTCTCCTGCGTGAAATTAAAGTGTTTCCCTCTACATCCTCTGCATCTATCTGTTTGTTTGTCTGCTGTCTGATCGCTTTGTTTGTTTGTTTGTTTGTTTTTTGTGTTTGCTGCTTGGCTGTCTTCATTTGCATTGGGGGCAGTCCGCATGGTCCGACTCGACTTGAGATTAAACTGTCCATTAGCGTCAACGCAAAGTCAAACTTGAAAACCCCAAACTAAAGTTGCATTTTCAACTCCTTTTCTTTCGCTCTGTTCAATTACAGAAGTCGTTTACGCTGATACTGCAGGCGTTGGATATGTACAACACATCCTATCCAGGTAAGTGCGGTGGCAATTGTGGGGCTTGTCGACGCGAGGCATTTGGCTTAATTAGCCAACGATGGTGGAGCCAAGCGACAGCGATGCCAGTCGTGAAATGGTGCCAAACAACTAACTAAATTCTCTCTTCTCTCTACCATGTCCAACTCCTTCGCTTTGGAACGCCAACGTTGATGCCACCCAAACAACCAACGACGACAACAAACAATTGTCATGCATCCAATGCCACACACACACACACAACCCAACACACACTCGGCAAATGCAGATGCGGAGAGGTTAATTGAAGAAACATCATACTCGGGCGTGATACTGCCATCGCCGGAGTGGAAGACACTGGACCACATTGGCCGCAATGCACGGATCACCTACCGCGTCCGGGTGCAGTGCGCCGTTACCTACTACAACACGACCTGCACGACCTTCTGCCGTCCGCGCGACGATCAGTTTGGACACTATGCCTGCGGCTCAGAGGGTCAGAAGCTCTGCCTCAATGGCTGGCAGGGCGTCAACTGTGAGGAGGCCATCTGCAAGACCGGCTGTGATCCCGTCCATGGCAAGTGTGATCGACCCGGCGAATGCGAGTAAGTGGTCAAGTTTTCAACATTGTAATTACACGCACTCTCCGCGCTGGAAACCCCCATTTAACGATGTGATTATGACACTTTTTGCATCTGGGGAAGCGACTTAATGGCTGCGAGAGGCGCACGGGTACGCGGGCATCGACACACTGTTATAATGGCCAAGAGAGCTCCGAGTTGGGTTGGTTTTCTTTTTTTATGTGATCAGCAGAGAAATGGGTTCTATGGCCAGGCCACTGCTCAGTTTGATGCTCTTTTTTGTGAGCCATCAACGGATGTGTGAAATAGCTGGCAGAGTTTCTCTCACATGAACGGAGTTGCAAATGATCAACCGGCAGACAGATCGAATGTGCCTCGATCTAATCGCGTTCCTAATCAATCGCAAAATGAAGCGAACTCCGCATTCCTATTGCGTTTCCCATTGCCATGCCAATTCCTTATTAAATTGTTCTCACCCGGGAACTGCCTGCATTGGGAGAGATAACCCCGAGTAGCCTCGCCCGTGGCTAGTGCTATAAAGTTGTAACCAACTTTTATAATCTGCAATCAAGTAAGAACCAGAGAGACCTAGTCTCTGGAGAGCTCTGTAGAGCACTCCGCTGCCCAAGTTCAGTCTAATCAAACGCCCGCACGATGGCCAAATGCTGATCGTCTGTGTCCGCCCCATGGAATGGTCATGCACAGCCACAGACAACAGAGCAACAGTGCAACAGCCACAGGCGGTTGTGGCACGAAAAAACGTTTGTGTGCCTCGGTTGTTCCTGTTGCTGTTGCTGTTGCTGTTGCCGTTGCCGTTGTTAATGTTCCAGCGTAACACAGAATACGTGAGCCAGCGGCCATGATTGCATTTTTGCTTGGCATCATGATGCGCTGATGCACCACTGCAGCTCCTCTCTAGTGGCTCTCCCTGCCTCTGCCATGGGTCCTGTGCCGATTCTAAATAGCAATAATTAGTGTGGCCTAGAAAGCATCAAAGCAAAAGCAACAGATGCCTGTCCAAGGCACAGATTTCCGCTCTGGCGGAACAACAATTATAAGCAAGAAGAAAAATTACTTTGCTGTTTGCACGTTGCTCTGGCTCTGGCTCTGGCTCTGGCCATAGATTCGTTTACAGATAACAACAGGCTGCTGTTTTAATGAAATCATAAATTATGGACATCGAACAACGATGTCGACTGTCGGTTGTCGGCTGTCGGTTGTCGATTGTTGGCCAGGGAGGCTGCTGCTAGGCCGCTGGCAACTCTCTGTCCTATCGCTGGCAACGTCATGCCTGGAGCTTGTAGAGTTAGCACCTTGGTTGGCGGCTGGCAGCGATAACTGGATGGCCGGGCAATTTAACTTTGATCCCTCTGCACTTTGGCGTGTTGCAGCGATAAAAGCAGCGATCTTAGCAGCTGAAGGAGTGCAGCAGGCAGGCAACAGGCAATTGTCCAACTTCTCTGCCACTTTAGCATTTGATGCATCAAGGCCAAAGTTCAAAGTGACCCAATTCGGTGGTGGCCAAATGCGTTCCCAGGCCCAAATTGAAATGTCTATAGAAAACTGAATGATCCAAGGGGAAGTGGATGAATGCTTTCCCAAGATACGAAGGATAAACCCACCAGAGATTGGTCGCAGTCGTAGTCTCAGTCTCCCCTTCCAATTAGGCCAACAACCCAGCCAACCCATTAGGGTTCTCTACGCTCAATTAGTGTGTGCCCAGCCCCAGCCCCAACTCATCTCATCAACTCGTTTTGCACAACGTTTTTCTCCCTCTTTCTCATCACCGACAGATGCCGACCCGGCTGGCGCGGTCCCTTGTGCAACGAGTGCATGGTCTATCCCGGCTGCAAGCACGGCTCCTGCAATGGCAGCGCCTGGAAGTGCGTCTGCGACACCAATTGGGGTGGCATACTGTGCGATCAAGGTAAGTGACCCAAGACCAAGCAATTACCAGATGCACATCTGGCAAGCAGTCTGGGAATGGCATCATCGATAATATCGAAGCTGCAACTTGCAGCGTGTCTGACCGTGGCTGAACATATTTCATAGTTTTGTTCGCTCTGCTCTCGACAGATTTAAATTACTGTGGCACCCATGAACCCTGCAAGCATGGCGGCACCTGCGAGAACACTGCCCCGGATCAGTATCGCTGCACATGCGCCGAGGGACTCTCGGGCGAACAGTGTGAGATTGTGGAGCATCCGTGTGCCACACAGCCGTGCCGCAATGGCGGCACATGTACGCTCAAGGTAAGCCCTCAATTTATAGACATTTTCGCAGTGCCATAAAATAATTTAATATCCCTACCCCGCCTGTCTATCCTCGCTCTTCTCGCTCTCCCTGCCAGCAGCCGATGAATGCAACGCGTCCGCCAATGTATCGCATCATGCGTGGCATGAGCACTTCCATGGGCAAGCCGATAAGCCGTCGCAATTCAATACGTAGCCTGGCCAATCTGCGCCTGGAGTCACAGAATGGCAGCACCGGCGGTGCCTTGGGCTCCTCCCCAGGCCTGCCACTGACGCCGCTGGCCGCTGAATTTACTTGCGGCTGTGCGGCCGGCTGGACGGGACCAACATGCGAAATAAGTGAGTTTTGATTTAATTTTATTCTGCAGCACGCGATTAGCCACACAGCAACAGACACAACAGCTACACTTGGCTGGAGAGTTCCTCTTGGCAGTTACCTAAGCTGCTGCCACTGAGCTGGATGTTGCCGCTCGATCATGCAATCGAGCACACACGCATTTGACTGTAGCGAAATGAAATGAAATGAAATGAAATGAAACTTAGCACGCACAGGCAGTCGGTCCGCTTGCCGCTTGCGGCTTGCCGTTTCTTTTTATTTTGTTTTGATTGCTGTTGTCTGTTGCACGGGTGGCCAGCAAATTTGGTTCGATTCGGTTTTGCATTCCAATTGGAGCACGACGGAAAACACATTCACCAGAAACTATGCAATGAGCTGAAAGCTAATTGAGTTGCCGTTCCCCCAAAAGCGAAAGAAATACCAGCAGAAGGGCCGGACTCTCTCAATTATTGTTAGTAGCTGTCTGTTTGTCTTGTATTACACTATATTATGATTTTCACGCGTTCTGTTTGTCTCTTTTTTGTTGTCTTTGTCGATTCCTTTTCCAACTCTGATCCGTTAGGTGTGACCGTACTGTCATTTCGATATAATACCAGCAGATCAGACACTCTAATATCTATCCTGCATTGGCCCAATTAAATTTTATGTTTCTTTGGCACTAATTACGTTAAAAGTTTCCCTAAAATTCCGGCTGAGCTGCGGAATTCGCTGTTAATGGCTTGCCAAGGGTCAGAACTTTAGTTTTTGGGGGCGCTGCTTATCAGTTTTAGCACAAAAGCAAACAAATGAGTTGCGTGCAGCAGGAGCAGCAGCAGCTGAGCCAAGAACAAGCCAAAAGGAAGGAAGCGACCAGCCAAAAGATTTCAGCAAACTGATAAGCCAGGCACGCAGACGCTGGCTACCAATACTTGTAGGATACACATACATATATGTATATAATATATATATGTCCATACACCATGTCAGTTCAATGACTTAAGCTTGAAGCTGTAGCTTAAGCCGCTGCTCTGGGAAAAGCCACCTGCTCGTCGGAGCATCTTCAACAACAAAATCAACACATTTGCACTTGAGCTCGGGGACGGCACTTAACCAATCTCTCTGTTTGCTCCTCTCTTTTTGTTGTTCCCAGATATCGACGAATGCGCCGGAGGTCCCTGCGAGCATGGTGGCACTTGCGTCGATCTAATCGGTGGATTTCGCTGCGAATGCCCGCCCGAGTGGCGCGCCGATGTCTGCCAGTTGGACGTGAACGAATGCGAGGTTCCCCATGCAGCCCAGGTCGGTGCTGCCAACACTCTGCTGACGACGACCGCCAGCGCCGTCATTGGGAGTAATCTGAGCAGCTCGGCGGCATTGCTGGCAGCGCTGACCAGTGCGGTGGCTGCCTCGAATGCTGCCTCCACCATTGGGCCCTGCATCAATGCCCGCGCATGCATCAATGAGCCGGGATCCTTCTCGTGCGAGTGCCTCGAGGGCTGGGGCGGTGCCACCTGTGCGGAGAACCTCGATGATTGCGTGGGACAGTGCAAGAACGGTGCCAGTTGCATTGATCTGGTGAATGACTACCGTTGCGCCTGCGGCACCGGCTACACGGGACGCGACTGTGAGACAGACATCGATGAGTGTGCCGCCTCCCCGTGCCGCAACGGGGGCGAGTGCGTGGACATGATTGGCAAATTCAATTGCATCTGTCCGCTGGGATATTCCGGCTCACTCTGCGAGGAGGCCAAGGACCACTGCACACCATCGCCGTGCCTGCAAGGACGCTGCCTGAACACGCCCGGCAGCTACTACTGCCACTGTCCGCCAGATCGCGCTGGCAAACATTGCGAACAGTTGCGTCCGCTCTGCTCCCAGCCACCCTGCAATGGTGAGTTTTAGAACCATGGGAACCAATTCTCAGAGCCGTCATTAAGCCCATCAATCCTGTCTCGAGCGCTTTTTGTCCCTGATCCTAGCCGCAGCTATGGAATAATAAGCCTAATCATGTCTTCTTCCACAGAGGGCTGCTTTGCCAATGTCACAGGAATGGGAACGGGGACAGGAATAGCTGCAACAGCAGCAGCGGGCACAACGACTAAGACAACGACAACAACAACGACAACGACAACGACAACCATGACGACACCGAGCGGTCTGCCCTGCAGCGGTCATGGCAGCTGCGAGATGAGCGACGTGGGCACCTTCTGCAAATGTCATGTGGGCCACACCGGCACCTTCTGCGAGCACAGTGAGTAATCAGCAAAGGAGAAGCGACGAAGGAAACAGCGAACTCAGCGAAACTCATTAACTTTCTGCAGATCTCAACGAATGCTCGCCGAATCCTTGTCGAAATGGTGGAATTTGCCTTGACGGTGACGGCGACTTTACATGCGAGTGCATGTCGGGTTGGACAGGTGAGTCGAGAGTCGAGTTTGAGTCGGAGTCGGAGTCTTCCTCTGAGTCTCGCGGCAGCAGCACCCCCTTTAAGCGGCCGCCAAAGTGAACGTCAAAGCGTTGCAACAAGTGCAGGCCGCTGGCATGGTTTTTGTGATGTGTTAGGCTGTTGCTTCCTTTCCTGCCCATGCCGAAGCATCGCGCACCCTTTGGGACCAATTGTGTGAACATAGTTAGAGGGCAAAAGATTATCGAAAGTAGTTCTGCCAGTCAGTGAGAGTCGTTCTGGAAGTTGGAGTGTAAATGCTCTTGTATATTAGCTGTCATTTGTGTGCCACGCAATAGTCAAGCGACTCTTTTTTCGGTGAGCGCATTAAAACCTGCTATAAGCCGACTCGCGGGCTGACTCCGGCTGGCAGGCGCATTATCAACGCTTGGGGGGCTCTAAATGGGCGCGAGTGAGAAGAGTTTGGGCACATTAAAAGCTCACCAACACAGAGAGGAGCACACACACACACACACACACACATACAGAGAGAGCAGCCGCTGATCGCGTCGGTCGCATTTATTTGAACATTGAAAGTTGGCAGTCATTACGGCTTCAAATTGAAGCGAATGCGCGCGCGGCTTTCGGAAAAAAAACTACGAGCCATGAGCTTCGATTGTAGCATTTGCCACATGTGGCAGAGCGGAGTGCCCAGAGCTGCAGCAATGGGGGGTAAAAGTGCCAGCCAAAAACCTCTGCGCATGATTTATTTTTGTTTTTAAATTGCGATTTGCATATTTCACGCGTTTCGCTTTTTTGTCACAGACACAGTCGCAGATGGAGGAGATACAGATATAGAAAATGAAAACAAATACGAAAACAATTTAGTTACAGATACAGCAGACATCGATCTATGTCAGCGCACTTTTACTTTTTCAATTAGTTCAAGCCATGACGCTGGGGGGGTCACGGCAATTCTCCGCCTTCTCCTTTCGTTTGCGAATACAAATCTCCCACAGTTCGTTGTCTAAGTCTTTGGTTGCGTCTCTCCCTTTTCAGGCAAACGCTGCTCGGAGCGCGCCACTGGCTGCTATGCCGGACAGTGCCAGAATGGAGGAACCTGCATGCCTGGCGCGCCGGACAAGGCCTTGCAGCCGCACTGCCGCTGTGCACCCGGCTGGACGGGTTTGTTCTGTGCGGAGTCCATCGATCAGTGCCGCGGACAGCCGTGCCACAATGGCGGAACCTGCGAGTCGGGTGCGGGCTGGTTTCGCTGCCTGTGCGCCCAAGGCTTCTCCGGTCCCGACTGCCGCATCAATGTGAACGAATGCTCGCCGCAGCCGTGCCAGGGTGGTGCCACCTGCATCGATGGCATTGGCGGCTACAGCTGCATCTGTCCCGCCGGTCGCCATGGATTGCGCTGTGAGATATGTAAGAGAGAGAACTCAATGCCACACTGACAGAGTGCTCTAATTTTTGTTTTATTTCTGCTCTGCTTTAGTGCTCTCCGATCCAAAGTCTGCGTGTTTGAATGCCAGCAACACAATCTCCCCCTATGCGGCGCTCAATCAGAGCCAGAACTGGCTGGACACTGCCCTGTCCGGTCGCAGCGAGGACGATGAGCACTGCAATGCGTGCGTGTGCGAGAATGGCACCTCACGCTGCACCAATCTGTGGTGCGGCTTGCCCAACTGCTACAAGCTGGATCCGCTCTCCAAGTCATCGAACCTGTCGGGTGTCTGCAAGCAGCACGAGGTGTGTGTGCCGGCTCTCAGCGAGACGTGCCTATCGCCACCTTGCAACATGCGCGGCGACTGTCGGGCCCTGGAGCCATCGAGGCGTGTCGCTCCACCCAGTCTGCCGGCAAAGGCCAGCTGCTGGCCCAACCAGGCGCTGGTCAACGAGAACTGCGCGCGCCTCACCATTCTCCTCGACTTGGAGCGCGTGGGCCGGGGCGCCTCGGTGGAGGGGCTGTGCTCGCTGGTGCGTGTGCTGCTGGCAGCTCAGCTGGTCAAGCTGGAGGCCCCGAGTGCACCCAGCCAGGAGCAGGGTCTGCTCATGGTGCTGTGCGATCTCAAGAGCGGCTCCAATGACACCATCGAACTGACAGTGGTGAGTGCGAGTGCGAGTGCCAAAGGATCTTCCTAGAGCTACTATAACTTTCCTTTCCTTGCAGTCATCCAGCAAACTGAATGATCCACAACTGCCAGTGGCTGTCGCGCTGCTGGGGGAGCTGCTCAGCTCGCGGCAGTTGAATGGCATTCAGAGGCGCAAGGAGATGGAGCTGCAGCATGCCAAGCTGGCGGCACTCACCTCCATTCTGGAGGTCAAACTGGAGACGGCTCGAGTGGCCGATGGCTCCGGCCACAGCCTGCTCATTGGTGTGCTCTGTGGCGTCTTTATTGTCCTCGTGGGATTCTCCATATTCATCAGCCTGTACTGGAAGCAGCGCCTGGCCTATCGCAGCAGCTCGGGCATGAATCTGACGCCGTCGTTGGATGCGCTGCGGCACGAGGAGGAGAAGTCCAACAATCTGCAGAACGAGGAGAACCTCCGCCGCTATACGAATCCCCTGAAGGGCAGCACCAGCTCACTGCGGGCCACCACGGGCATGGAACTGAGCCTCAATCCCGCGCCAGAGCTGGCAGCAAGTGCGGCCAGTGGCTCGGCGCTGCATCGCTCTCAGCCGCTGTTTCCGCCATGCGACTTCGAGCGGGAATTGGACTCCAGCACGGGCCTGAAGCAGGCGCACAAGCGCGGCTCACAGATCCTGCTGCACAAGACACAGAATCTGGACATGAAGAAGAACACGGTGGGATCGCTGGACAGTCCGCGGAAGGACTTTGGCAAGCGATCAATCAACTGCAAGTCACTGCCGCCGCCAGCGTGTGACATCGATGGCGTCGATGTCCTAACCACTGTGATGGTCTAGCGGGGGGCCAACTCTCTCTCTCTCTCTCTCTCTCTCTCTCTGTGCCGTGATCTCACCAACCGCCCAGACACCCCACCCCTTAGCGCTCAACGCTCATCGCTCAAAAAAGTTCCAATTTTGCCACAGCACGGGGCGCGATCTTCCAAGTGCATTAGTAGAATCTCTAGGGGAGTGGCAATGAATGATTTAACAAAGTTAGTTTCAAGTTAGTGCTCCCACAGAGATGCCCAATTAGTTAGTTAGTTAGTTTAGTTTAGTTAGTGTGCCGCTCTACGGTTAGTGTAATTTCCGAAAACTCTTCTCTTCTCGCTAAGCAACAGACATCCTACACAGTGTGATATTTAGTGTAACCCAGAAGCGCATTTACTCGTAATCGTATGTGCACTCATATAACAATTAATTAAACAATTCAAGGTGTGTGTACATATATGCCAAGTTATGTATGTACATATGTGTGCAAGCGCGCTCTATACGATAGTTGTAAGCTGTAAATAATGTAAATTAGCAGTTACCGTTATTGTATTTGTGTCGATAGTTAACCCTAGTAAGCCCCCTACATAAATAATGAGCACCCCCCAAGCCGCAACATGTTGGACTTTAAAAGTTGTTTGCAATTGTACGCAATAATTAGTGTAAGTAAGCATCTAAGCAGTAAAGAAAATTAATATTCAGCAGATGTATTTTATTGTGTATTATATAGAGCGATACGTGTATGTGTGTGTACTAATATTTATTTATTATTTTAACACTGATCTAGCAGCAATAAAGCAAATACGAATAAAGTTAGTAAAAGATAAAACAATTTTCTAATAACTGGAGTGAAAGTATTTACACGGCTAATGGGAGCCAATCAATGCAGAGCATTTCCTGTCGATCAGAAATATGTGTGTTTGTGTCCATTTGAAATATGCGCTAATTGAATGAGAAAAACCACATGCAAGTCGGGCAAGTCGAGGAACAATGCCACAGCGAAGGAGACACACAGAAACAGAAACAGCAAATACATCGAAACAGATCAGCAGAGAAAAAAAAGAGCGACCGAAAAGCAAAGAAAGCGAAATCGGGAATTGGGAATCGAGCAATGCATTTTGCGTTGTTTGGTTTCTAATTAAAATACCAAAAAGAGCACAGCCAGCAGACAGACAAACACACAGAGCCGAAAACTAAACCCAGTGGATGATCAAGGTGCAGAGGCCAGCAGCAGCAGCAGCAGCAGCAGCCTCATCCAACGTGCGTAAATTTCGTCAGCGGTAAACTTGGCTCAAAACAAAACGAAATGGCCGGCCGCGTTGTGTGTTGTTAATGAAGCAGAAAATGCCAGGAATTTTCGCTTGATTGTGGTTGGGCCTGTGCCTCTCTGTCGCCTTCACTCCACACAGTTCCTCTGAGTGTTTTATTTAGTTATTGAACAGTGGCCTCGGTAGCTGCCGCCCTTTTGGGACGACCGCCGCCTCAGAGGCGAAATTTTAGCGGAATTTTTGGCGCTTTATTTTTTGTTGCCAGTTGTTTCGGTTCTTTTTTTAATTAACGCGCGATACGTTTTCAAGTTTTGAAGGGCCACAGAGCAGAGCACAGCACATGATGGGCATATAACTCATTGGAATTATGGAGGAAAGAGCAAAAGCCGAGGAGAACACAAGCCAAGACAAGGCAAGAGCGAGAACAGAACGTACATAAACTTTATCCGTCTATAATCTAAATATGTTTCTCTCTGTTGCTCTTTTTCGTTGCTGTCGTGGCTGTTGCAACAATTTGCTGCAAATTGAAAGCCAATTACGTTGTTTGCAGCATGCCAAGGCAGTGGCAGCCGCAGCCGCAGCCACAGCCACAGCCAACGATGGTGAGCCCAGGTCCAGGACCGCGACCGGTGCCAGGCCACAGACCGAGCACAGATCCACGGCAGACAGGCACAAAATTGCGAGGCACACACAGCGCTTGTAGACGACATAAATATCAAATACAGGTCCATAAATTTGAAACCAATTAGCCAACTTAAATTGATAATAGTTGCTGTTACCGCCGTTGTTGTAGCTGCCGCTGCCGCTGCTGCTGTTGGTTCAGGGCATGGCCTGGTCTAGCATTTGCCTATTGGTCGCAGGAAGCTGTCACCGCAGTGATGCCTGGTGGACTCCTCTCAACAAGATCCGTTAATGGCAGTGCCATTCGATGACATACGTCGCTCGTGGTGAGCCGCCAATTTTCGTTTCGTCCGACAATTGCTGGCCATATATGCAACGAGAGAAACTGCAGCGTCTCATATGTCTCATGTCGTGCCTGTCGTGTCGTTCTAATCACAATTGCCTGGCCTCCTCCACTGCCGCTCCACTGCTGCGCCTTTTTATGGCGCTTTTATGCAAAACAACTTAATTTCAATCCTCAATCCGCTTGCAACAATGCGGCGCGTAAAATATGCACTCGCAGTGAGGCAGGCAGGCAGGCAGGCTGGCAGACAGAAGGAGCAACAGCAACAGCAACAGCAACGGCAGCAAAAACGAAAGACTTTGGCCAACAAAGTTGTACAAATGTTTTGTCCATTTGCCTGTGTGTGTCGAGCTGTTATAGAAAATTATCTTAAACTGATTTGATATATATTCAAATAGGCGATGTGCGACACATGTTGCTGCTGTTACATGCAACATTTGCCGTATTTGTTGCACGCAGAAGCCAGAGGAGCCACAAGCAGCAGCCAGGTCGCTTGCCAGGTAGCCAGTTCGCTGTTATTTGTATGAAATGCAATGGATAACATCGCTTACAGTAAACGTTTAGTTTGTGTTTTAATTAAAATATTTTCATTTCCCCCGTGGCAGGCACCGGGAGACGGCCGGCCCGGCCAGGAGATTGCAGCTGAAAATAGCAGACACGCTGGGAGCTGCATCAAGATCCAGGCACATCCGTGTCGTTGTGGCCGACAAGTGGCATTTATAAGCAGCATTATAAACTAATTTAGTAGCGCCAATTGATTGGCTAATAGAGCTGATGGAAAGTACCAGGGAAACCTTACTTTTCCATGATAGAATCTCAACATTAGGAGTCAATCCTCCAAGCAATTTAGTTACCCCCCAACTAATTGATTAACCAACTTGGAACGCGTAACCCTAATAGCCCACAAAAACAATGAACAAACCCCGTGTCTAAGCTGAGCTGAAAAATCACCCATTTGAGGCAGAACCACACGCTTTATAAATGTCGGAGGCGACATTAATGTAGCACATTTATCTAATTAGACAAGCGTTCGGAGCGGCAAGATGCCCCGAGAGCCCCGCTTAATGTCTCACGCCAAATAAATTAATCAACTAATTGATGAGCATAAATTACGTGTATGCAAATGAGCAGAGAAGACGCTTATTGATGGCCAAACTGAATTAGATTGGCCAAATGAGCCAAGCAGAGCTCAGGCCATCAGATGGCCACCCACTGTGCTAGATTTGGCCACTCTCCAACACTCTTTAGGTTGCGCTCTCTCTCTCTCTTTCGCCAATCCAATCGAAGTGCAGCGTACAACTCAATTAATAACAATTTCTGAGAACAATAAGGCAGGAGGCAGGCCAGGCAATCCTTTTTGTCCAACATTTGATTATCTCATGGCGGCTGTGGCTCTCTCGAGTAGTGGTTGGTGGCTATCCGCCGCTATCGGGTGCTGCCATCGAGGCAACCAGTCCGTCCGTCCGTCCGTCTTTCGGTCGCTTCGCAGTGTGGCGGAATTAGCCGGCTCTCGCCTGAACTGAACTTTGGCTGTGGTGCACGAGGTCGTGGCCAAATTGCCAGGCCATGCACAGCGGAATGTTTGCTGCCTTCCTTTTTTTTTGTTCGCTTTGTTTTTTGTTTGGTTTTAATTGAAACCCGTACGAAATGGAAAATAGAAAATGGACTTTCAACTTGCGCCAGCAGCTCCAGCTCGCTAAATTAGCCAACAGACTATTTCTAATTTCTGCGGCCCCAGGGACCGGAGTCGGAGTTGAAGTTGAAGCCGTTGGGGTCGGGTCTGCCCTGCAGTGCATTTGGAGGGCATTTGGAAATTTATGGCGGGCCAGGCGGTGTCGAAAATAGCGCCAGCGACAGGCGAGCGATGACGACCACGACGACTAAGACGATGCAAGGCTGATGTTGATGGCTTTTGCAAGTTTAAGTTACTTTCTAATAATGTAGCGAAGACAACAACTGCGATGGCAGCGTTGTGGATGTGGATGTGGATGTAGGATGAGGATGAAGCTGATGCTCAAGCTGAGGATGCATTGCACACGAAAGTCATAAGCGCAGCCGAGGCAATTAAGTTCGAGCGACAAGTTGCGCTGCTGGAAGCCGCCAGGAAACTGCAACGGCAACGGCAACGGGCAAACGGGCTGACTGGCTGGGAGGGTGTGCAGCTGTGGTTACATGTTTATGGCTCGAAACGGATTGCACGTAATGGGATTTGTGCTGAGCGACAGCGATAGCCTGTGACTGCAGCCAGCCCAGGTTCAGCATTGGGTTCGAGCCCAAGCTCGAGCTTCCACGGCAGTTTCAACTCCAGCGCCTCAATAAAGCCGATCGCATTACCAATTAGGCGTGCACACTCGGCTAAACAGCCTCCTCCTTGTTGGCCAGTGGAAATTGAATTAGTTGTCGCTGCATATGCGTGACTTGCCTTCGCTCGTACGAGCCTGTTCTGGTTTGGCTTTGGTTTGGTTTGGTTTGGTTTGGGTGTCGCTGCTCGTACGTACCGTCCGTATGTGTAAACATTTTTTACACTTTGCCACATTCCTGCGTCGCGCGCATAAATCAGCCTGTGCTCGCCTGTCAATCTGCAACTGCAACGCCATTGATAGCATCGTCGTCGCAGTCGTTGTCGCCAGAGTGGCTTCGAGTGGTGCTTTTAGCAAGTGTTCAGCACCTGGCTGGGTGTGCGCCGCCAGTTGTGGCTATGCCATGCCATTTTCTGTGCCAATGGGAATTATGGCAACTGCCTGGGGATCCTGTTTAGCCATTTTCCATCTCTCTGCAGTCATGCGAAAAATTGTATCAACTGGAGTGTGGGGTGGGAAGTGGAATTCATCGTTTGACTGATTGAGAGCGCAATTAAGCCGTGAACAACATTTGCCGCCAATCTATTTTTCATTATCATTATCCAACTAAAAGTAAGAGTACAATCTAATCCTTGACTAATCTGCTTGTTTTCCACAACTTTCCCAGCGAGCAGTGGCCGCTGCGTGAAAACCAGATGCGCTCGTTGATCAAGTTCGAATACAGATCCCCCAGGGCGGGCACGACATGGAATTGCCGGCCAATACACCGATGCGTCAGCACATTGGTGACGACCCACTGTCACGGATATACACAAAACTGGATTATTCAAGTCGTTGGCAAACGTACAGCCGGACTTACAGCCACTGGGTGTTCGCGCTGCAGTCGCCTCATGCTTTGCAGCAGCTCCAGTAGCAGCTCGAAACGCTGGGCGCCATCCTCCAGCATGCGCAGGGAAAACGCTAGCGAATCGATCACAATCACTTTTATCTGCAGAACATGCAGGCGGGATCTTGAGTAAACAATTCAGTGAGCACGCATACATTAACATACATTTGGATGGGCCATCAGGTGCCGGTGAGAGCTCAGGACGGTGGCCATCAACTGGACTGCATCCGGGCAGCTCACGTAGTGAATGTTTTGCAGCATTTTGGACGCCTGAAAGTCAGGTGATTTGTGTTTATATTGCCTCTCCAGGTCATAGGCCAGTTCTGTAGGTTAACATGGGCTACATTTACATGAGATTCGACATTTAATTGAAGAACCACGCACCTTGCAGTCTGTCTGGATGGAAATCTCGTCGGGTATCGATGAAAAGTGCAGCCCCCTCCAAGCCGCCAGCAGATTTTGGTATTTGCACATTCAAGCATAGCTGCAGGCTGAACAAAACAACAATCAGACATCATTCAAAGCATAAATAATCATAAATAAACGTAATTTACCACATTTTTGTTTTGCCGGTACCCGAATTTCCTACCAATTCGGTTATTTGTCGCAAGGCAATTCCACCACCCAAGTGTCTGTCCAGACCTTTGTGGCCCGTTGCAATTCTTGATTGGCTATCTCTTTGCAATATGTCCAAGCACGAGTTATTAAATAGATTTAACTTGTTTGACGACGAACTTGCATTTTCCATAGCCGCCAAAAATTGAAATATAAACAAAAAACAGCTGTTTGACACATAGCTGGCAAGAGCTGGCTGCTATGATACTTCAGAAACGTTTTACAGCCGTGCAGGGAAACTAGTCTAGTATGGGGACTGCCTCAACACAAGTGTATGAATAATTTTATATTCGCTTTAAACAGTTTACAGCCGTACAACTTACTATTTGATGTATTTATGTATCTACACTATAAAGTAGGATACTTGACTGAAATCTATTTCCGTTAGTCAACACTCGTGTAGTTTGCTTACCATATGTTCTTTGTTTACAGCCCACTTGCATTTTAATTCGTGGTTCTGCATTGGACTTTAGTCATTCGTAATTCAAAATGTTCAACCTTAAACAATTAGCCACTCACCTGTATCGCCAGTATGCACTGATCACATGCATTAACATGCTGGAGCCATGGGAGAGGAAGTTAATCAGTGAGTAAATGTGGTTTTAATACGTTCAAATTTTTCTGATGGAGATTGTGCATTTTTGTAGATGGTTTCTTTCTGGTCATGCTGGCTTTGGTGTTCTTCTCCAGCTATTGGTATCTGCCCAACTATCTGCAGAAACTACTGCAGGTCCTCACACCGCCCGCTTGGTCTGGTCAGACGGAAAATGTCGCCTATGTGGCACAGAAAATGGGCACAAGCTGAGCTTCCACCCAACTGCAGCCGTAAACAACAATAACCAACTAAACATTAATACTCTACCAATTGAAAAGACAACTAGAATGTAAAGAAAATGCCATTGTGATTTATTTTGACTGGTCCAGAATCTGTAAATAATTAATTGTGCCAAACCAAATTCGCTTAACCCACTGCACGACCCTTTTCCTATGTCGCACGATCAGAAAAACGGCCTCCACCATGCGCAGCGCGGAGGTGTTGAAGAACAGACCCACCAGGCCGCCCAAGGAGACTGCAGGAAGAGATTTAAACGTTTATTGGAGTGTCTTTGAATGCCATCCGCTGCTTACTCAAGAAATCCAAAATGGTCTTCGCCACACGGCGTACATAACGCTGCGTGGGCAGCTCCACGAGGGCCACACGTACTTTGGAGATCTCCTCCGCATCCTCATCGTCGCTGAAGGAAGAGGAGAAACACCATAAACTGAGGGCATACTAGGACCATCGCTGACTCACCTGTCTGCGGAGTTGTAGATAATATTATACTCGGGCTCCTCGCACGCGCTCATGCACTCGCAGGACTTGCGCTCCGTCATCAGCTTCTCCCTCACTTTGGTCAAGCAGATCAAGCCAAGATAGTCGCAGACGGGCAGTGAATTCTGTCCGGGCACAGCCATAAAGTGATTCGTGCAGTTGCAGTTGACCAGCTGCAGCAACACGGTGCACTCCACTACGCAGCCGGAGTAGCTGTAGAACTCGTAGATGCCCTGACGATCGGCTACGTGCTCGTGGCCATAGCGACATCGCCGCTGCTCCATGCTCAAGTCCTGCACGCTCTCGTCATTGTGCACTTCGATGACGTTCAGCACAAGCTCCTTGAAGTGGCCCAGCAGCACCGTTTCGCGTATCATGCCCTCGGACAGCTGAAAGGGCACATCGATGGGCGCGTGCACATAAAGCTGAACATCCGCAGCAGCATTGAATGTGAGATGTCCAGGGCCCGTCATGCGATTGTTTGTGTACTGCACATGGGCCACCTTACGCGCCTGATGGGAGTTGAAGGAGTAGCACAGTCCGTACTCCGTGGGCAGCGGCAGGAACTCATCGCAGCAGTCGAACAGCTTGTTCAGGTAGCTGCAGTTGACAATCAACTGATGGCACTTGGTGCGGAACTGCAAGGCGGCAGAATGTGAACGGGAAATCGAACAGCCCTTCGGGTTGGACCTACCACTTCCAGGAGCAGCGTGTAGTTTGCGGGACAGCGCAGCTTGGCGCAGTTCTCGCAGCTGCTGCAGACGCCACGATAGAACACAATCTCGCTGATAAAGTCATCGATGTGCATTTCATGCTCGCTGCCAAAGTGGCTGTCACTCAGCTCCCAAATCTTCTCAGCGTTGTAAATCTCGCAGACGGTGATGGCCGGAAATGTAGAGTTCCAATTGAGGCTAGGAAAGAGGCTTTAAGCAGAGCGTACTTCAATGCCAAAACAACTTACTAAATGGTATCCAAGCTAAACGAAACCGAAGAGGATATGTAACTATGCAGCAGCGACAGTGAGACACTGCCAAAAAATGGCAACGACTGATAAAATGTCACAAAATAGAGCACAGCCTTTACAGCGTATCCCTGCAGGCGGCTCCAGTTCATTGTGCATCGTTCAACGGAAAAATACAAACTGTTGCCACAGGAAATACTTTTCGGGGGAGAGAGAGAGCTTTTTTCGTGGAACAATGGCAACGATTTCAATGTCGGATATCCATCACAATCCTTTGTTCCGTGGCGTGTCCTACATTAGCAGCTGAATAAGCAGCACTACCCTGGTTTATTTCCATGGATTTAGTTCAATAACGCTTCGAATGGTAATATTTTCATGGAATATATGGCATAAATCATATGTGGACCTGTCAAATTCGTAGGTCAGCCAGGCTATTAATTATTTTTGTTTCCAGAAATAAATAGATTAGAAGGTAGGGCCTTTCCCACTCCCGTAATCGTTATACTAGTATTGAAATTTCACTCAAAGAATCAAGAATTAGTTTGTAGCAAGTCTCTGAACTGTTTAAGGCATGCAATTAATTGCTTAACCGCAAAATTAAAGCATACCAAACGACTCACTTACGTCTTTACTCTTTCGCTGTGAGTCAGGGCTTTAGCATTTCAAGCCCATATTTTCATTGTGATGCTGTCAGAATGTTCATGTAATTCTTTAGTTGGTTCTGATTAATCACGTTACTGTTGCATGCCACACATGACTCACAAAAACTAAACTCCTGTCCATCCGTAAACTATACAAATGACTCAACTGCAAGGAGCTGTAGCCAATCAATTAACATTGCGGTTTTACCAAAGGGATTCCCATCGGGAATGTGTAGACAAAGCCTTGAACTTCTCGTTGTCATATCTTTATATCTTCACATGAGTCAGTTCTAGGTTTCGGGTAAGTTTCAAGCCAATTAAATGAGTGTATTAATCCCTAAAAAAAAAACAAATAAACAAGCAACAAGAATTGTAGTTTCAGGTAAACACAAATTGCCCGAGGATTCCCATAGATGTCAAGATATTTACGCTGAGATTGAGGCACAGTAAAGTGCGTCAGAGTTTCAAGAGAATTTATGTGCTGTTGAAATCATCAATTTATTTACTTACCAAGCAATAAAGAGCATAAAGAGTGGTTTTGTTTAATGTTTATATCAAGTTAATCAGCACCAGTGTTGACAAGTGCCGAAAGTGCTGTGCACAGTGTTGTATATTTTAACACATTTATTATACAAAAACTAAACCAAAAACGTTAAAAATATCTATGGCAAAGGGCTGCTAAAGCTATGGACATAAATAAAGCGAAACAGTGGAGTAGTGGACGGTATTGGTAAGGATCTGTCAGGCAGATGAGATTCCCAATCAATATAAATTCTGCGTTATCCAGGGCAACATGTCAATGATGTTGGCAAAGACGCCCGGCTGATTCCTGTTCGTGCCGCAGCGCTGGCCGCCAAACGAGATGACGCCGTACTGCACGAAGCGATAGTGCTGCTTGAAGCGATGCTTGAAGAACAGCGGGCCACCAGAGTCGCCGCGACAGGTGTGTGCGATGCCGGAGCCGGTGGCGCAGATGTGATTCTCATTGACGGGCGCATTGTTGTAGTAATTGCGGCACACGGAGACATCCTTGCGGGTGATGAGTGCCCGCTGCTGTATGGAGGCAGCATCCTCCTTGTCCGTGCGACCCCAGCCGGCAATCAGGAAGCTCTGATCGTGGGCCAGCTGCTTGGACTCGTCGTCGATGGGCAGGCAAACGGGTGCAATGTGTGACTTGGGCAGCACCACACTGCGATCCAGCTTGATCAGCGCAATGTCATTGTTGATCGAACCATGCGAGTAGCTGGGATGCACGCGCACATCGTCCACGCCAAAGTCCTCGTGGGGCGGCTGGCACACCCTATGAATGCCGCCCAAGTACGTGCAATCCTCTTCCCTGGCCAAATCGTGTTCACCCAGCCGCACGCCAATTCTGTAATCAAAGAATTTTCTTAGCTTTAAAAAAATTAATTTAAATTTCGCTTTCCAGTGGTACTTACAGCGGTGGCTGTTGCACGATGCAATGTGCCGCGGTGAGTATGAAACGATCGCTGATCAGGCTGCCGCCGCACAGGAACTGACGTCCCGAGGTCTCGTACTTGAGCAGCGCCACCCAGGGAAACTCTCCCGGCTTTGAGTTGCGGCCGCCACTCACCTTGGGATTGCCACGATTGCCGCACTGCGTGACAGAGTCGAGCAGCCGATAACCCGCCGGATCGATGCGATTTAGATCGCCGGGCGCAGCCCTCGCCGTCTTTGTGGCTGTGAAGCGCTGTTCGGCTTGTTCCATGCGTGTGCCAGTGTCGCCGGGGCAGCATAAATGAAATTCCTGCAAAGAGCAAGCACCAAAAGGTATTCAAGTCAGAGTTGTAAGTTTGTTGAACGTTTCCCGAACTTACATCTGTCTTCCCGTTGCACTGCATCTGCCGCATTTGGTTCTGCAAGCGTCGCGGTATATTCCGTCCGTAAATGTCCTGCAGCTGCTTCACAAAGCCGCACTCCTGCGAGGGCACACACAGGCCCGGGGCACCCGCTGGTGTCAGACAACTGCGCTCTGAAAGTAAACAAAAGTTCCGGTTACGCCCATTCCCGATGAACCTCTATCGCCGCTGTGAACTTACGTGCTAGCGCCAGTTCTGGCCAGACGACAATCAGCCAGACGAAGCTCAAGCTGAGGCTGTTTGTGATTATAGAAGCCATCCTGTTGTGATTCGGTCTATCAACTGCCGCGCTCAGTGTTCTAGAAACCAGTCTCTAGTTGTTGGATATTTATTTATGTATGATCTGTAGACTACTGGTGGATAATGTTTTTCAACATGCGCGCTCAGCAGATCGACGGAGAATGAGCCGTAGATCGTCGTGTGCCGAGCTTTTGTATCCGAGCTCATCGCTCGGCAATCGTGCTCTGGGGAAGCGCCAAGTCAGAATGCATATCGCGTATACCCAACAGGTTTACCAGTGTCAGAGTAGCAGCGGCGCGCGCACGTGTTGACGCCCCAGATCTGGGCAAGATTATTAGCTACCATAGTGCGCTCTCAGCTCAACCCGCAGCTTGCAGCGTGGGAAAAGCGATTAAATTCCAGGAAACCCCACATCGTACATCGATAATACTCTCGAGAGTTTTCTCTCTGGCACGCGACGGGAGAGAGAGAGAGAGAGTGCGAGAGAGATCCGTGAGACACCCATTATAAGCGGTACTTTTTTTATCGCTGAAAAGTTGAATTAAAACGTTTTTCGAAATTGTAATTTCTATCGCAAGTTCCCCACTCACACGCCCACACCCCCATTGGAGGCCAGACAGTCAGGTAGTTTCTGTGTGTGTGTGTTTTGCTGTTTTGCTGTTTTAAAACTCGTTCTTTTGGATGCTCGTATGTGTAACATCGTTATGGAATTTCCAGAACTGAAAACCCCAAGCGGCTTGTGGGATATCAAACTCTTGGCTTAATTCGCAAATGCGTGGAGCGCAATGCTACAAAAAAAATTCCCCCAAATGTTGTGGTTTGCCAATAAAACAAATCCTTCTATTATACGTACCTGTCAAACTGTCAACCCGTTTGCCCTGGGCACTTCCACACCCTCCATTAGGATAGGTCGGAAGAGCAAACACACACACACACACACACACACACGGTTAGGGCGGTTCCATATCCACTCAATAAATTTGTTTAATCATAATCAGTTTGTGTGATTATTCCCACTAATGGATAGTAACAATTGAGCTGATAAACTAAGTATATTATCGCTGATTTATTGCAAGTGCAATTCAAATAATTTTCTATTACTCATACCTCTCGTTGCATAATTATATTTATATATTTGAAATATTCATAAATAATGAAGAATTATTAACCGGATATGCAATATGCATGGCTAGTAATATCTATATTAATGATTCATCAGAAGAAACACAACGTTAATCTATTTTTGCCACTGTTTTTTTTATGTGCGGTAGAGATGCTCGTAAAAAGTCGCTTTGATTGTTTCCAGGCTGCAACATCTTAGTGCTAGCAGCTAATTTTATAATATAGGCCACTCATTTAATCGTTTTTCTTAGGAAACTGGAGCAAGCGAACAATACAAAGCTTCTGATTAAAATTGTTGCAAACTTTTGTATTTTTAAGAAGCATTTTTATATCTTATTTGTGAAATATTTTAGCTATTAAAAAGTGTTTTAATTAATCAAAAAAAAAAAACATCATAAGTGTGCAACTCCTCCCCACTTCTTTCCCCCTTAAACACCAAAAACTTGTGAGTAACTTTAGAAATATTTAAATATTATATACTCGCATTTATTTATGGTTTTACTAATTACTAAAATACACAATAATATTTTGGAGTGTAGAAGATCAACTCTCATCTCTCGATTACAGTCCATGACTTGCCATGGTATCTGTTATCCATTGCACATACTCCCCGACATTCGTGTAGAGGCCGGGCAAACTTATTTGGCCACAGGAGACAACGCCCTGGCTGACAATGCCAAACTCCACCATGCGTGGGGCAAACTCTCCGAGATAGCGGGCGGGCGCCTGCAGTGGGCCACCGGAGTCACCCTTGCAGGAATCCTGCAGATCACCGCCTCCAACGCACAGCTGCGTGGTTGGCACCTGACGACGATAGGCCTGGGAGCAGGCGGAACGTGGCTGAAGGGGCACATTCGCCTGGAGCAGGACATCAGAGGAGGAACCATTCTCCGTGGTGCCCCAGCCTGTGACAAAGAACGTGTTGATCTGCTCCGCCTGTTGCTTCAGATCATCTGTGATGGGCAGGCAGATCGGTTTGATGTGTTCTGCAAAGGAGAAAGAAAAAGGAAGAAAACTTTAAGGTAAGTCTTGGGTTTCGATCGTTAGAGAACTTACTCTGCACAGGAACGCTTCGCTTTAATCGCAGCAGTGCAATGTCGTGCATGATGTGACGGGCATCGTAGTGCTCGTGGATGATGTACTTCTCAATGCCCACATCCACAACGGGCGGAGCACACTTCTTCTTGCGGCCCTGCTGGCGGCAGTCCTCCTCCGTGGAGATGCGATGCTCACCCAGGCGTATCTCATCGCTAGAAAAGAGAAGGAAGACGATGAGTTGGGTGTAAAGATAGATTTTAGTTTTGTTTTGGCCTACAGATCATCCTGAAGTCCATGCACACAATGAGCAGCAGTCAGAATGTAGCCTAAAAAGAGATTAAATGATGAATTTGCTGGGGAAAGGCACTCTCTGTGAGGGCACCTACGTTCTGAAATGAGTGCACCGCCGCAGAGGAAACGCGGTTCGCCAAATTGTTGGTAGCGCAGCAGAGCCATCCAGGGCCTGGACGACAGCTTCACCTCATAGCCATTGGCCACACGCTGGCTCAGAAAGTTGCCACAATCGAAGCTCTTGTTCTTGAACAAAGCCATCACCTTGGAGTTGTGCTGGATCTGAGCTGCCGGACAGCAAAAGTGACGCTGGAAAAGCAAAATCCAATCAAAACGAATCAGTTGACTTCTTGCTTGAGTTTTTTGCTGTGTGCTTCGCTTACCACTCCATTAAACTCCCCGCAGGAAGCCTTCTGCAGATAGCTGGCATAATCGGCTGGCACACTCTGTCCCGACTGCTGGCTCTGCGTCAGTCGCTCCTCAATGTCCTTGCAGGAGGAGAAGGGCATACACTGGCCCGACTCCCCATTGGGCGTAGCGCACTCATCGGCATAGGCTGTAGAGAGATTGTTTTTCAATGCCAAGCTATAGGCAAGAGAATTCTGAGAATTCATTACTCTAACCTGCTCCAGCGGCCTGTACACCGAACACGAGGGCAATGCCATAGACAGCGACAAAGCATCTGCTTATCATTTCAGAGAAAAACTGATCGAAACGTAACACAAACCTGTGGAAAACTTTGCAAACTGACGCTCAAATCTCGACTGGGTGCTGCTGATCCAGCGCTCAGGTTTTATGCCAGCGAGAGATACACTCAGAGCTCAGAGCTCAGAGCTCAGGTTTTGTGTCTCAAAGAGATCATCAAGGCAGCGCTGAGATTGCATGCCTCAGAGAGATCTAGTCAGAGCTCAGGTTCTACATCTGAGAGTTCCACTCAGAGCACAGCTTGAGAGCGAACCCGATTGATAAGCTCTCCGATCTCCATTGTTGGCAAGAGATTCGCTCTCTCTCTCTTTGTGATCAACAAGGGAATATCCAAATATATACCTGCATTTGATTGCACGACGACGTAAACAAAGCGACTTCATAAAATTGTTATTTTGCCTCAAAACTTGTATTGGTTCTGCGCTCTCAAAGCGCCAACTTTGAGTGTTAAATTTCACTCAATATTGTAGAGAAATGAAGGATTAAACATACCAAAATATCTGCAAATCAAAGAACAAACTTAAGCCCGACTTAAGCTTCAGTATGAGCTCTGAAGACTAGAGTAAAATACCTTACATTAATTTCTGTTGTTTAATTTTTATTGTTTATCGCACATCATCAAATCTAGTCAATTGTACAATGGCTGAATCGGTCCGATCGATTGGGGGGGGGCATTGGGGTATGGGTATGTTTTCTCTCTATAGTTATATCATTGCTAGTTCGTGGTACATTTAGGTTGTAACAATAAATTATGTATAACAAAAGCTGCTTAATTGCGTTAATAAATATCAGACGTGGCTCAACAACAAACATAATCGATATATGGATAGATAAATGTGTGTCCGCACGGATATCCACACACAGGATACGCGTGGCAGACAACTAAACAAATACGAATTTTGGACTCTTGATAACTTGAATGAATATTTAACGGCTGCTGCGAATTAGTTGCTCTTGGGGGGGGGTTGTCTTTTTTTGGGGGACTTATGCTCTCACCAGTTCTCGGAGCTGTTTAGCTTGCTGTCTGTGGTTTTTGTGGGCCAATATGTTGTAGGCGGTCGGTCGGTGGTAGTGGGTTGGTTGCTTTGGGGGAAGTTGGTTGGCTAATTTATAGAATCTCTTCGTTCTCTGTATGGCAACGAAAGGGAAACATAGCAATAGATCAATCAAACAATTGTCGAATACCGCAGTTAATAGATTTTGTGTCGATATTTTGTGTGTGAGAGTAGAAGGAGTGAGAGTTATGAGTAAGCAATAGAAATATATATATATATGTTGGTAGCTGCTCGCTTTATGCCGCCTTCAGAGTTAGTTACAGATCAGCAAGAGAGAGAGAGATGGAGAGTGCAAGCGAAAGCCAAGAAAGAGACAAAGGTAGAGATTAGCAAATCAAAAGCATGGCACATAGCAAATACATTTAGTAGTAGAGTTAATTGGATAAGGAATACTGCATTTGTTCAGTGTCAATCGTTATCGTCATTGTAATCGTCAGCGTCAGCAGTCGGTTTGTTATCGATCACAAAACAATAAACATTATAATTAATACATAACTAAAAACGTATACATATACATATCCATAACATATACATACATATATAATACTATATATATTATAAGAAACATATCGAAAAGGTGTACATTTAACGATTATTCCGTTGCGCCCGTCGCTCGAATTTCTACTACGCGCTTCTCTCTCCAGCAGGTGCGAATATTATCTACAAAAAGTGCACTCATCGGGCGTGGGTTGACAGTCGTAGTAGTAATAGAACCGTAGAACCATTCGCTGGCAGGAGGCAAACGAATCAATCGCAGAACATATTTATATATGGAGGATAATAGCAGTTGGAATCGGATTTTTGTGTGTGGCTTGATTAGATTAGTAGATTGATTTGTGGTGCTGAATGGTGAACGAACGAGCGGCATTGGAAGTACAAATAGTAGTAGTAGTAGCAGTAGTAGCAGTAGTAGAAGTGGGTTAGGAGTTGCAACAAAAACATAGAGAGGTTGAGGTGGTGGTGCCAACACGCTTGAACTTGAACACGCTTTGCTTATTTGATGGCGGCAATGAGCGGGCTTTCTTCGCCTGTAACAGAGTGAAAGAGAAATCAATAAATTAGTAATCACTTTTTTTTCCATAGAGCTTGGTGGGCACTAATTCACGAGTCTTAATGTAGGGCATGCGAGGCCAGGTCCAAGTCACGGGCATCGAGCACTCATAGTTGAAGTTATACAGCTGATCCTCCAGCCACTTGCGCTTATCCTGCGGCTCCGGATAGGTAGATGCCAGACCTAAACAAACAGCACACAAGAAAATCCAATTAATTCATAATTATGGCAGCTCTGACTTCGATTCCTTACCCTTGTCATAGGCACACTTGGTCACACCAATGGCAATATTCATGGACACATCACGGATGCTCGCCAGCGGCGGATACAGCGAGCCACGCTCAATATCGGTGGCCTCCGTAAAGTTGGCCAACTCCTGGGCGGCAATCAGGAACATATCGTCGGGTATGTGATGCGTGCCAGTGCAGATCACGCCCAAACCCACGCCAGGGAAGATATAAGCATTGTTGCCCTGACCCGGATAGTACGTCTTGTCGCCCACTACAACCGGTGGGAAGGGTGAGCCCGACGAGAAGATGACACGAGCCTGCAAAGGAAACGATTTATGTAAATAAAAGTCATGGGGAAAATGGAAACTTTGTTGCTGCTTACATCCGTGTTTTGGTATGCCTCGTCGGCTGTGCATTCCGCCTTGCTGGTGGGATTGGAGAGGGCAAATATCACGGGCCTCTCGTTGTTGTCGGCCATGGTGCGCAGGATCTTGGGCGTAAACAGACCAGCACAGGCTGAGGCACCAATGAGCACCTGCAAAAGCAATAGTCAGCGCATCAGTAAAAGGAATCCAAAGGCTTTTTTCCACTCACATTTGGCTTAATGGTCGAGACAATCTGCTCGAGATCCGCCATGGGTTCCACATCCTTGGCATAGTTGACCTTGTGGCCGTCCAGGCTGCCCACTTTGCGGGTGGTTGTCAGCAGACCATCAATGTCCACCATGTAGATCTTGTGGTAAGCCTCTTCGATGGGTACGCCCTCGGCCACCATGGCCTTGACGACCAGATCGGCAATGCCGATGGCAGCCTCACCGGCACCGGCAAACAGGAAAGTGTAATCCTTGAAGGACTTGCCAGTGATGCGCTTGGAGGCGTACAAACCAGCGACAGCCACGGCTGCTGTGCCCTGGATATCGTCATTGAAGGTGCAGTAGTTGTTGCGGTATTTGTCGAGGAACCTAAATGCATTGTGGTTGCCAAAGTCCTCGAACTGGATGAGGGTGTTCTGGCCGTAGCGCTTCACCACCGCCTCCATGAACTCATCGATGAAGTCGTCGTATTCGCGGCCGACAACGCGCTTCTGGCGCAGACCCACATACAGAGGATCCTCCAGCAGATCGATGTTATTGGTGCCCACATCCACCACAATGGGCAGGCACTGGTGCGGCTTGATGCCAGCGAGGGCCGTGTACAAGGCCAGCTTGCCCACAGGAATGCCCATGCCGCAGGCACCCAAATCCCCAAGGCCGAGAATGCGCTCGCCATCGGTCACGCAAATGGCACGAACATTTGGCTCCGGCCAGTTCTTCATCACATCAAAGATGTGTCCCCGGTCATTGAAGGTGACAAACAGGCCGTGGGGACGCCTGTAGATTAGACCGAAGCGCTGGCAGGCCAGGCCCACGGTGGGCGTGTACACAATGGGCATGAGATCCTCAATGTTCTCGGAGAGGAAGCGGAAGAAGAGCCGCTCGTTGCGATCGTGCAGATCGCTGAGATACAGATACTTGTTCAGCGGCTCTGTGTAGCGATTCACGGCGATTTTGCACAGCTGCAGCTGCTCCTCCTGCGTCTTGAAGCGAGCGGGCTGCAGGCCATGGATGCCCAGCACTTGGCGCTCCTCCAAAGTAAAGGCTAGACCCTGGAAATGGCAAGAAATTGCTTAAAGTGGGGCACCTCTTGGGCTGTGGATGGTTATCTTACCTTGTTGAGACGTGGATCACGGATGTGATCGATGCCTCGCACCTGCGATGGGCAGATAATGTCGCCCACCACCTCATGATAACGACGGGCCTCGCACAATGCCAGAGCCGAGACAGCCGGCGATGTGGTTGTTCCTCCAGCTGCTGCTGCTCCAGTTGTGGAAGTGCCGCAGCGGCACAGTTTCCCAACAGTTCCACACAAACTGCAATGAAAAAGGGTAGGGGGGAAATTGCATATAATTCATCAGTTTGTCAATTGTGGGACGGCAATCCGCAACAAAACCCCCCCACTGACAATGATGACACTCTTGACATTGTCACTGGAAGAAGTGCACGTATCTATCAAAATGAATACTATATATATTTTATATATTTATATGTACATATGTGTGTGTTTAGATGTTTGTATATATGTATACAAATTACTATTTTCAAGGTCGCTATCAGCTGGTTTTTGTTTATCACCGCATGGGGGAAGGCATACCAAAACAAGAAAGGGAAGACTGTCTTTGAATGTCGAAGCTTTGGATACCCTTGCAAAGATGTAGGAAAATTGATGAAAACATTTTAAAGTTATGTTAAACCATATTATGAGACACGTGTGATTCTTGGGTGGGTTTATCTTTGGAAATATTCCAGGGTTACTTATAAAGAAAAACATTCCACTTTTAATTCATATTTCAAATGTATAATTTGTTGTTGAAAATATCTTTGGGAAAAAATACATTTTTCTAGCAAATATCTAATTTTGGAGCAATTGTGACTTAGGAAGATTTCAGATATTAAATCAGAAAAGAAAGGAGTATACAATTTAGGGAATCGGTTTATGCTTCCAAAACGTGCAATCTAAATAATATTACCCTCTAGCAGGGCATAGTACAAAAAACTTTGGGTAAACTACATAAGTCACACGGCTGCTACCCCTGCTATTCTCCTAAGATAAGAAAGATAAATGATGAATAGCAAAACCAGAACATGGCGATAAAGCATGTATAACATATGTATTTCTAGTATTATTATTATTTGTTTAGTTGTCACTAATTGCAGAGAGAGATGAGCAAACAGAAGAGGGGAAAAAAACAGCAGCAGAACAAAATATGTAGAGTCGTCTGACTAATTTCCCTTTTGCGGTTCATTGATGAAATCATGCTATCCAGATCGTTGGCGATTTATGGCATAGCAAAAAACCCGTTAGTGACGTTGGTACAGCAGAAGCGCATGACGCCGCCACGAGCCTCTAGCCCCTCGTCAACCCCGACCCCCCCCCCCCCCCCCCCCCCCACCCTTTCCCAAAGGCAGCTAATGTGTGTAACTTGATGAGAGAGCTTCTGGGCTGATAATTATCGAAAGAGTTGCTAGGGGCTGGCCTGGGGGAGCAGAGGCAGGGGCGGATGTGTTTAGGTAACGCTATCATTCCACCGTCAATGGACAACTCACATGAGCCCAGAAAGTGCTAAACAATTTCGCATATCTGCCTCCATCCAAACCAAATAGGAAATACGAATAAATGCGTGTCACAAAATGTTTTCCAGTTGTTCAGTCAGTGTTTGTGTACAGTGGGGCCAAGAATTATGTTTTCGCCATTAATATACAGTTTTATTGGTACTTAACTTGACGTGTGTGGCAAATTTTGAGAGGCTTAGAATATATTTTTACTGGATGGATGGTAATTTGCTGAACTATTTGTTTGATTACTACTAAAAGTTGTAGAATATAGATATCTAATCAATGCAATGCGTTTCCCGTTTTTGTTAGTTTGGGATGTTTGAATATATGTATTTGCAAAAGCTTTGCTCTTAGGGTGTGCGAATATATAACAGGCCCACTGTCTCTCTGTGGTGGGCGACCAGCTGACCAGGCGGCAGCACCGCCCTTCGTGTGTGTGTGTGTGAACTTGAACAAGAGTCAATGTACTCTTACTGGATTTTTGGAGTGCGTCAGCCATCTAACGGTTCGTCAGAGAAAGAGACGGTAAGTAGACCATCCGTGATAGGGCGCGGCGTGAGCAGGAAGGAAGGTGGGCAGCGCTAGAAACAATTTGATTTTGTGTTTTCTTGATGAACTTGGCAACGAAAAAGTGCTTAAAGCACAAACACCAGCAACAGCCTCATTAAGAAGCAGAAGAAAAAAAAAAAAAGGCCAACGCCAGCACATCTGTGGGTATACACACTAATTTTAGAATTTTTTGCCAGTTTCAACCAGAAAAGACGTGTGCATACATGCATATGTGTCCATGTCCATGAACGTGAAGGTGTCGTGTCGCCAGGTTTTTGGTATTGATTTTTCTCAGCTGTTTTTGGCAGCAAAGAGATAGGAGCAGAGTGCAGTCGAATCTTATGCAATGCAGAAGAAAAAAAGTGAAAAGGAAGATGCCAAAGAATGTCCGATCAGCCAGCAGCTGGGAGAGAGGGAGCGGGTCAATGCCAGGCCATGTGCGAATATGTTGTACATCCCTCTCTCTCTCTCAGGCATCCCTTGGTAAGCACTCACGTGTGTGTGAATGTGTGTGTGTGCGACGAAAAGCGAAAGCTGCGCAAAGGCTTGATGCGGGAGGGAGGAGAGCAGACGCCTTTTGGCGGCCATCCGTCTGCCTCGTATGCCCCGCGTCGACGACTAGGTCACTGGGCTAACAGCTGGGGCAGTGCCTGCCACTCGTCATGTTGCATAACGCCCCACTGGCAGCCCCAACACATCCTCCCAATAATGCAATTGTAACTGGAGGCGAGTCCCTTTTTGTGTTTTCTCGGAAAGCGCTTACCTTGGACGTGAAAACATTGTTGCTTCCTCGAATTGCTTTGTCGATGTTAACTTTTAGATAATTTTATTGCTTTTATGGAGTGACACTTATTCAAAGGAACTTGCTACACTTTTAATACTTTCTGTTAACTTTTTAGTTCGTGTGTCGTGCGGAGCGAATCGGAATAACGACCCTTATTTCCAGGGAAAGGAATTAACTTGGAGAACGCGCGGGCACAACAACCACCACAGCGCGATGCCGATTTTGAATAAAAGCTTAAAGTTTAATTTCATTGTATCGATGTATATTATATGGCAGATAAGTCACCATCGATACTTTTGTTCGATTTTTTCAACTGGTATTCAAATACCAAACGCAGGATTGCTTCCGATAAAGCAGCTGACAATTGTTTGTTTTCATATTGTTGTGTTTTTTTCAAACATGGATCAAGGTAATTCTTGAGTAAAAATTGTGTCAATTCCCATTAATTTTCTTATCCGTATTGCAGGTGAAGAGAGAAGGTGGGACTCTGATTCCACGAAGCTACTACTCCAAATGTATTATGACAGAAGAGAAGAATTTCTGGATCCGATGAAAAGAAAAAGGGACGTCTGGAAAAGCGTTCTGCTAGAATTGGAGGAGCATGGTATTTGCGACATAAACGCCCAGCAGCTTGACAGGAAGTTTAGGAACTTGAAGAAAACATATGAAGCGATCAAGAATCAAAAGAGGCAAACGCGGTGGGAGCACTTTGAGAAAATGCATTCCATTCTTGGCAGCATGCCTGCAGCAGCCTCTCGTTTAAAAAGGCGAAGCACTGAAGTATTATATTTACCCGGCTGCCCGGAAGATCAGAATGAAGTGGATGATGACTCGCATTCCGCGAGTACGAACTCAAAATCGATGAAAATGGAACCGGAGGTGATTTGGGAGGCCCCCAGCCCCCCAATGGTCAACAATTCCAACATGCACGATACGGAAGCGAGTTCGTTATCCGAGAGCAGCTACTCAATGGTGAGTATAATTTGAATAGTTGATTTCTTAAATGCTAAACAAGCTACTTTTGCAGCAGACCAAAGAAAAGGAAGTGCAATGCATTTCTACGAATTCCAGTGCCATAGTAGACATTCTGCAGAACCTGGTAAAAGAGGCGAAGGAACTACCAATAAAGCCACCATTTAAAAATATGGAAGTATTGACCTACTGGGACTTTCTGCTGAATGATATGACTCCAGAGGCGGCAAGAGAAGCTCGTCATAGAGTCACGAATCTACTTCAAAACTCAGTCACCGCCAATCCCAAAAAATAATTATACTTAATAATAGAAAATTGATTTATAGTAGTAATAATATGTTAAAAACATGTAAAAATAGTTTGCAAAACATAATTTTAACATACAATTTTAAATAGAAAAAGTAGACAATGAAAAAGTAGTTGTTCCATTCCCACATTCTTAGTTTGAACATTTTTTGTAGGCAATACAATAAAATGTAGTCATGAAAACCAGACAATCTTGTAAAGAATTTAATGACGAATTACATAAAATTATTACTTTAGCGGTAAGAGTCCCAACTAGCAGATAATATTAATTAGAATATCAAAATTGAGAAGAAGTCCTCAGACACACTGCAACCTTTTCTCTGCCCCAATTCACATCAAAGTGAGTACAATGAAAATGCTTTAATTAAAATATCCAACTAAATATATCATAGGCATCATGATTTGCTTTTATAATTTCATGCTTCTTTAATGAGGTTAATTTTGTAAGAAATATGTTGTTGACATGTAGAAAATGGATAGTTTTCATGTAGTTATAATGTAAGAGAAAATTACACTTTTTCGTACCTTTTCTGTTCAAACCTTAAAACACATAGTACGGTTTAAGAAAATGTTATTGCAGATAATTGATTCAGTAATCGGTTAAAATTTGAGTTGGGAGTTTAGAGTCACAGCTAGCTTGTAATATGAAATGGAATGCCAAAATTGAATATTTGGTATGTTTACGGTATGTATTGAAGATGAAAATGTATATTTTCGAGGGACATGCGGTATATTTAAACGAGAAATCCGCGGTCACACTGCCGATCTTCCTCTTCGCCTACATTCCGCTTTGTGTTTTTGTTTCGCATTCGAAAAAAAAACTTTAAACTAAACGGACGACGCCGCTGACGGAAACGGCAAGGGCGGATGAGTGTTGCGCGAGTTTAATGGTTTTTTCGCTCCCGAAAAGCCAGTTTCACACATTTCGTTTAATATATTTTAAGAATTTTTAAGCAAATCGACGCAGTTTCCGCCTGGTGAAATGCAGTTGCAAGTGTAATGTGCGGGAGTGTTGTGGAATAAGGAATAAGCGAGCAGGAAAAAAGTCACGCGTGTGATGTGTTGTTGTGGCTGCTGCTACGAAACGCAAAGCAAAGAAAAAGTCAAAGCCAAAAAGCAAAGTGCAAAAGGCAGTCAAAAATTAACACCAGACAACTACGAGAGACAGGCCCCGAAATTCGGAAAAAAATTATAAAAAAGTGTTAAGTGAAATAATGTGCATTTAGAGGTGGAATCGCGACGCAAAAGGCTCACAGCAGCGCCAGCAGAGGCAGCAGTCGCTAAACATATTGAACGCAGTGTGGCCAAGGCAGTTGAAGTAGTGCCGTTGTTGTTGGTCGTGTGTATTTCTTTGTTTTGTTTGGTTTTCGTGGTCCCCCCACTCCGAATCTCCTGTCTCGCTCACACTCGTTCGTTGCTGAGTGTTGTTGGTGCGTGCGCGCTGTTGTACGAGTGTGCAAGGACAACAAAAACGCACTTCGTTGGAAGAGGAAGCGATTGAGAGCATTAACAGCTGTGGCGGCGCTGCAACTGCATCGCTCCTACAACAACAATAGCAACGATGGACACATTTCGCAAGTGGCTGAACAAACCCAAGGTACAGTAAACGGTGACTCTGATAACCCAAATCATAGTTCCCTCTTATCACCTCTCACACTGGCTAAATATACGTATGTATAAAGAGAGTGTAGGGGAGGAGGGAGAGCTGTAATTAATTAAGAGCAGCGCAACAGTGCGAATGGTGTCAAAGCAACTCTGCAGTGTATGTGTACGTGTGTGTGTTGGTTCGTTTGTTAACTGTGTCGCTGTGACGTCAGCGTTTGCTTTGGCCCTGGTCAAAGCATGCTCTCCTCGCCTCTCCCGCTTTGCCTCTCACTTGCTCTTTGTGTGCCAGCTGGGTTTTAACCGTTGCTGGATGATTAATTCGCTGACGCTGGCAGAACACGGCAAACAGCTATAGCACACATGCACACATACAACTGCATCAGTTGCATTAGCATTTTGTTTTTGCAGCATGTGCGACGTGTATGTGGCAGTGTCTGTGTGGAAACCGCATTCACTGCATTCGTTCCAGTCTCAATTCAAATTGGAAATACACTCTCACACTACAGTATGCACGCACACATGCTCACACGCACCAGAAACAAAAGCAGAAAAATGGCGCCAGCTGCCGCCTGTGTTCGTGTTTGCAAATTACAAGTAAAAATAATTTATGTATCTACGTCTGGGGGTAATTTGGGATCTGTTCTTGATACTCGCGTTACTCGTACTCATACTTATGGGTGCAATGGAAAATGACTTGGAGTTTCCCATAAAAAAACTAGCAGAAAACTGAAACAAAACAAAACAATGTCAAAGTAGTTTGATGGGCCATCCGTAGCCTCGGTTTTCCAGTGATTTAGTAATTTATTTTTGGATTTTCGTCGGCATTCAGACTCAATTCCATCACTGAATTCCACATTGCATCTATATTTAGATCTCTCTCCCTCTCTCGGCTGCTGCCTGGAATATGTTGTACCGTTAGAAAGAACGGGAGCGGGGTGGACGCCAAAAATAAAACACTGAGGCTTCCATTCCCCCCGTCTCACATGCACCCTTTGGATTCAACCTCTCTGCTTCTTATGGCCGATCGCTCGTCAATCTGTCGATCCGCTTGACGTTTTGATTGTCGTCGCCAGAATTTTGAGTGTATCCCCCAGAGGAAAACCAAAATTAGAAGCAATTTACACGTAAATCCACAATCCATTCAATCGAAGGCAAACACTACATCACTTTTTTTTTTGTATAATGTGTTCGTGTGTGTGTGTGTTATACGACGACAACGATGACCTCGGGTTACCTGGAGGTCAGTGTCGACATTGGCTGGAAATCTCATTGTAGAAATAACGAAGCTAACAAGCAAACAACAGATGTTTCCAAAGGGTTTTCAAGTGTCTCAAGAAGAGGCTTCCATAGACTGTCTCTATATGTCGTTAGATTAGATAAGATTATTGATATGATGGAGATTTTGAAATGGTTATTGATAGAAGAAGGCAATCGATACATTTGAAATGAAAATTAACAACAAATCTAGAGTCTTGCAATTTATTGAAATAAATATTTAAAATCCTATTAGATGTTAAATCAACAACAATTAGTGTATTTCAACATTCTCTAATCAAATTCGTTAAATAGATTTCTTATAATTTTCTCCACATAAATCGAAATGTCTCCCCTTCGTGGCAAAGTTCCGTCTGTGGTTAAACTTTTTCTTTTATTAATTTATTACGCTCTAAATAGATTTGAAAATTTAGAAATACAACATTTTCATTGCCTCACTTTCCGGATGCCGACTTTTCTGCTTTTCTTTTGTTAATTAACACACTTCGCTCTGCTCCCTCTAAAGTCCCATCCATCCCCACCTCACAGTATTTCCCCCTTTTCAACACAATAGCAGCTCATAAATAACGGTACGTTTTCCTTGTTTTCTTGAAAAGCGCAAAGCAGACCAGAGCGTGGCAGCAGCGTCAGCAACAGCAGCTGTGGGGCTGGCGGCTTACCTCCCAAACGAAATAGAAAATGCTGTGGGGGCCTACGGCAATTTGTGTTTTTCTTTTTTTCCATCAACTCTTTTTTTCCCCTACGTCTCGGGGTCTTCCCTCCACCACATATCCCTCTTCTATGCGGTGCCTGCTCTTCTTTCATTCATTCATTGACTGACTGCACACAGTTTTTCCGCACTCGTTTCCTGGTCGCCGAAGTCTTCTTCTTTTTTACTGGTTTTCTTTGTTTTTGTTTGCAACTTTCTTTCTTCTTTGTGCAGAGATTCTCTCTATCTCCCTCTTTATGTGTCTTTGTCGCATATCCAGATAAACCGTAATTTAATGCGACGACGGCGTTGCCAGATTTTGCAAGCAAATCTCTTGCCATATCAAATGCACCTTTCGATGTCAAAGGAATGTATTGAAGAAACGGTATTTACGAAGAAGCAGAAGATTTCTGGTGATGATAGTTACAATAAGAGAATCACAGTTGCAAGATATGTAAATATGTATGTACAAACATGTGTACATATCTTTAAGTATTTCAACATTCGACGCGCAATAGATTCCATCGTTTTTAGCCAAGCATTTACATGTTAGCCTTGTGTACTACTCGTACTCGCACCGGATACATATAATTAGTTATGCCTATGCCTCCCTTTCTCTCTCACAGTCATCGGAACTCCCATTGTAAAACTTCTTCAAGTACTAGTACTACGTTTATTTCCCCGTAAAAGGGGTACAAAGCAATCGCCTTGCAATTGTTTTTCTTCTCGTGGTTTTCTATGTACAGAAAAAAACGAAACAGACAACCGAGTGAACGTCGTCAGCGTCGTCGAAACAATGGAGGTGGAGGCTAGGCTGAGAGAAAGAGGCGCAACAGCCGTTGCCTGCAACCCACAAACAAAAACGCGATACGGATCCCAGTCAATGGGGCACTGAAAGGCAGCAAAAGGCAACGGGCACGCGCCACAGGCGATTGTAATTGATTATCAGATTGCTAGGAGGCGTCCCCCCAATCCTTAAACTCTTTACAGAAGGAAGAGTCCACATAGCATTACATCATTCCATGCCCTATAGCATACATAAATTTCGCATAAATATATAATCAAAACTCGTCCGACGGTGGAATATAGGAAGTGCCCCATGCTAAAGCAAACACTTTTCAATTCAATTGCTTTTACCCGTCTACTTATATATTTATAAATATTTGACGATCAATGTATCACGAATATACAAGAGTGCGCGCGTACGGGTACGAGTATCTCTGTGAATATATCACAAATAGTGGGTGCGGGGTCTCTATGATATTCATTCGTATCGGCAGTCGTCTGATCATTATTTAACACATGGTTTATACGACCATTACCGCCCTCCCCATCGCTCATTGGCCATCCGGGGTATTCCCAGCAGTAGGGAAACTTTATATTTATAGTGTTGTCTCTTCTATGTGGACACCCTGTAATTGTAGGAGCATGAGGGCATGTGGGTTCTAGGTTTCATCTACTGATTGTATGGGTCCGGAGAT